GGCTTTCGGCAATGCGCCCCCTGTTCTCGCTGCACACGGTTGCCAAGGCTTTCGTTCATTTCGGACGTGGCCGAGCTGCGCCCAGACTTTTGGAGTGTGCATATGCTCAGGCTTGATGTTCACCTGTCAGGAACAGCAAGGGACATCCCAGAAGCCCTACCGGTCCTGGATCCTCTGTGTGTAGTCGCGGATGGTTGCGGCCTGAAAGGCCATGCTCCGTCCCTCTCCTCCTGCCACTGGCAGCTTGGCTCCGTCATGGCTCTTTGGGCCGATCCATGCGTGATCCTCTCCCACATTCACTTGATTCAACCCCAAGTTGCCATGTCATATGCTTGTTCTGATTGAAACGTACGAGACCTTCCTTTTTAGTAACGTGTCCATGAGCCGAAGCGGAGTCTTGCTTGGGTGATCCCGGGAGGGAGGCTTGGTACTTGGTAGGCTTGAGCGGCGTGAGTAGTGAAGTTGGACTTCTGAGGATCCAGTGCCTCAAGATTGCCCAAACCACGAACTGTTTATTATATACCGGCATGGGGGGACACTCCTGGGAACCTCAAAACACGAAAGCTACTTCGAGAATGCATGTGAGCAAAACGCGTGATGCATGAACTAGGCACCGTAGTGCGTGCGGTAGACATTCAATAGCAAAGTCTCTCTACAGCTAGAAGGATAAACAGAAGCAAGGCCTCAATACGCGGTGAGGGGTAGGGATGTTGAACATCGTTTCATTCCTGTTTAACTGCCTTCTTAATGAACCCAGACTTGAAAGACTCTGCGTGTGCATGCCTACTGTCAAGACCTCCCGGGCCAAAACTCGTGGAAGAGCATCAGGAACCAAAACGACCGGCCGAGCAGCACCTGCTGAACCCGTACAGCCTCTAAATGCAGCATATCGGGGTTTCTTTAGTGTCCCCGTGTGTGCAACTTTTTCACAAGAAGAATGTTTATAGGAAGGACTCGCGATGTTATCATCGTTTCTACTCTGAGGATCTGATTCATAAAACCACCAAATTTTAAAGAAATGAACTTTTTTGGCCCAAACCCTCCAGGAAGACTACTTTCCGTTACGGGAGCCAAACCCCCCCCAAAATGCACGAACAAAAAAACAATTTTAAGAAATACATGTGGCGGCCCAAAAAAAAAGGAAATGCTGAAGGCTGCAGGAATATAAAGACCGCCGGCCTGCGAGGACGAGAAGCACAGAGATTTGAAAAAAAAAACGCTTGCCCCTTACCCCCTACACTCTCGAGCCATGGAGACCTGGTAGGGTGAAAGAGCTCTTCTGAAATAGGGCCACCTCGACATGTTTTTTGGTTCAGGGAGGGCTTCCAGTTCAACCTCACCTACTTACAACGTCTCCTGACAGTAACTCTCAAACCGAATGGCTGAACGCTTCTTTTCCTTGCGTTAGGCTGCCAAGTGCTTCTAGCCAGCTACAAGAGCTCAACGCTTGCACACGCTAGCAAGGCCGGCATAGGTACAATACGGGGAAATGCACTCGGTCAACATCTTGTATACCATCCGCCTCCCTTGTTGGCATTGGCAGCACCTGGCAGTCGCTTCTTCCAGAGTCCTTAGTTGTCCAGTATCCTTGGGGAACTAAAGGTTATAACCTTTTGGATTATAAAGGGAAATACCACCTCTGCTACCAAGAGTCTGGCTTCCATCCCCGAGAGATCCTGTCAACCCGAGATCGAAGTGATCTCGAGCGCCGTCCTGTCCGGTCTTGGAGTCTAGCAATACAAAGCTGCAGTGATGCAGGGGGGTCACAGCTCAGGATTTAGAGCCTTGGGGGTCGCGGGATGGATCTGAAACCTGTGAGCCTCCAGCTATAAGTTCGAGTACGGCATCTTGAGGGCTCGAGTGTCACATTGGGCTATCAGCTTGAAGAAAGGCTTCGAGGGGCCTGATTCGTGGGTTTAGATACGAGGCCTGATTAGCTAGGCCAGGCCTCTGAGGCGGCTGGATACCGTAGACGTATTGTAGCATCTACTAGGAGGGGGCTCCTTACTATTCCAACTATAGTTAAGGGACTTATAACCTGAGTTAGGGTCCTCAGAACCCAATTTAGGGTCCTTATAACTCTACTTATAACTAGGGGGGCCCTTCCTTGTAGCTGCCATTCTTTGAAGTAAACTTTCTGGCGAAGTGCCACGGTCTAATCGCAACTGCGTCTCACTTCTCTCATCACGGCACCCGCACGCCACCTCCTAAGCCTGAGAACCCGCTTGTTGGTCCTCCTGGGCTGCAACAAGATTTTCGTGCCTGGGTCGCTCATGGGAAGTGAAAAAAGGGGTCGTTGTAGCAAGGTTGGTATAGACACGGTATAGGAACCGAGCGAAAAAACTCTCTCTTCTTCTTCTCTGCACTTAGGAGTCCCCCCTAAAAAACTCTCTCTCTCTCCCTCTCTCTCGCTCCGCCTCTCAATCAATCAATCAATCAAGCGGCTAGCTATCCCAGTACCTATCTGTCTCTCTATCTATATTGTTCTATCTATCTTAGCCCTCTACCTCTCTACCTCTCTATCTCGCTATCTATCTGCTTATCTATCTGCATGAAGGTATGCTTGCAATGCCCGGCCGGGATGCTGTGCGTCCTCTCCTCTCCGGGCTGCCCCGGCGAGGCACACACAGATGGCCGCCAGAAGCAGGCGATGCATCAGTCCGATGGCTGTGGATATGGCAATTGGCAAACACACGTCGCAAAGAGGCTCAAGCTCGGGCCAAAAGGCCAAAATGGATTTTTTGTGGTGGGTGGCAGTGGAATTTCTCCACCTGCAGTTCTGGACTTCTGCATGTTGTCGGCGTGAAGATTGTGACGGTGACAGTCTGGCTGAGGATGATGGCGCTGGCGGTGGCAGTGACAACGGCGCTGGTGATGATGTTGATGCTGTGCTGTGCCGTGCCGTGCCGTGCTGTCCCCCAGTTCTGCAGGTTGTGCGAGGTCTTTCGGGGTCTTGCCGAGGTGGGGACACCGGAAGCACCCTCTTTCTCGGTTATAAGATGAAGCAAAAATCAGCTTCTTCTGGCACAAACTCCCTTTCTCGAGCCGAAAACCTGGGTTTGGGCCAGCTGTACGCCCACTTGGCCTCCTCAGCTGCCAGAACCTGACAAAAAAGCCAGCCCCCCGCTCTCGTCCGCTTCTTGTACTTTTGGCTGTCACGGTCTCGTCCGCTTCTGCTGTTTTTGGCTGTCACGGCCCCTTCCGCTTCTACTGTTTTTGGCTGTCACGGTCTCGTCTGCTTCTACCCTTTTGGGCTGTCACAACCAACCTGCGCCTCCCAGGGCCGCAGGTCCATCAGCGCAAGCACACAGCCCCCTCATCTTGGCCTTCTCAGGGCTCTTTGTCCTTCAGCGTTTGCTTTCAGCACCCGTCCTGCAAGGGCCCCGATCCCATCAGCGTAACCAACCTGCGCCCCACATCTTGGCCTCCCAAGGCCACAGGTCCATCAGCGTAAGCAAAAGGTCCCCTCTCAGGTCTCCCCGTCCTTCAGTTCAGCAGCACCCCCCCATCCCGACCTGTAGCCGGATGCTTCAAGACTCCTGGGTAGCTCATCGCTAGCCATTTTCCAGCCATTTGTATATAGTTGCGCGACTGTGAATCCACCCATGAACCTCCAAATAAGTTTTGCGAGCGCTGTTTTCCCCGATGCAGCTGTCATCCGGATCGCAGTCGCTGACTCAAGCTTCAGCCTGCCGTGTAGAGACCTGGTGGGCAGACAAACCGCAATCTTTTTGAGGAAGATCGTTTTGGCTTGTTGTTTCATGGGGAGGTGCGTAGCAAAGATACTACAGCGCGATCCACCAAATCTGGTTGCAGGAACATGATTGATGTAAGAGCAGCAGGAGGTGCTCTGCGCTGCGCGCTCGGACCCTCCGCTCTCCTTCGCCTGAGGAAGAGCCTTTGACGACCCGCAAAACAGAGTGAACAGACAGAGCCGTGTGCTGGGTTGCACCATCAGTTCGCAATTAGGGTAGACAGGTATTCCGTGTGATTGGTTGGCACGCGCAGGGACGCATGTGGTTACCCCTCTTCCATAAACCTTCGACTCTCAGGGCCCTAAATCCGAAACCCTAAACCCTAAACCCGAAACCCTAAACCCTCAGCTGGGCTCGTGGCTCGGGGATGGGTGAGGCCTGAGCCCGCCAACTAAGGGTTTAGGGTTCAGGGTTCAGGGTTTGGGGGTCAGGGTCTGGATCTCAGGGTAGTTACATGGTTGTCTAGGGTTTAGGGTTTAGGGGCCTGGACCCTTAAACAAGGACCCCTTATGTACCCCTTAAATTCCTTATACGACCCAAGGGCCCACACTTCAGAACCCTGTAAAAGAGGTAAGGAACCCTAGCAAGGGCCCACATATCTACCCTAAGACTGGAGATGCCGAAAGGCAGCCCAAAGGTATGTAGTCAAGGCTTCCTGACAAACCGGCGGGGGGGCTTGGCCTTGGGGTGTTTTTATCGTCCGTATCAATGTTCTCAGTCAGGGAGTCGGGTACATACTTGTGGAGGAAATCCCATCCGTTCATTCATATCGGTGACATGCGAGCCATCTTTCGGTTGCACTTGGGACCCGCGGCCAGGGGCCACAACGGCAGCAGCAGTGCCGGGGACTAGCAAAACCCTAAACTCTAAACGACTCTAAACCCTAATTAGGAATGGCAGCAAAGGGAGGAGTTGCAAGGGAGAAGAAAGGGAGGGGAACTGGCCAAGCGTGTCGCTCCGTGGCCGGGCTTCCCGGGCTACTCTGATGAACCAAACTTGCCGTTTATAGCTGTCACGCGTTTGTGTTGGCCTGCGTGATGCCGTTGCTCCCTCCTCACGGGGACAACTTAAAGCCTATGCACCCCCATAACTATCACGCAAGAACACACCCAACTTCACCTGTTTCTGCAAGAGCCGCGAAGGGCGAACTGTACAGCCCGAGCTCTCATTGCTACCTGGCTGCTACTACTGCTACCTGACCAATGTCGAAAGACAGTGAGGCACTTCATTGCTTGTAAGCCCAGGTCACGGATGTGCTGTGATGACCTCCGCCCTTGCTATGGCATCCTCTGTGTCGGCCGTCGAGACATCATCAGGTTGCTCTGGCGTTTTTGGCCCCTTGACAGGAAGACAGGGCTCACATGTATGCCGGTCGCTCCGGCTGCGGTCTTGCAACTCTCGGGTGAGCCATTCCAGGCCATCAGTCAGACCCTTGCCTTCTGTGGCCACACTCTCCTGGATGTACCACTGTCGGTTTCGGATGCCATGCAGGCCAAGCTTGTCAACAACCTCGGGCACGCTAAGGGCACCTGGGAGGTCTTGCTTGTTTGCAAAGACAAGGAGAGGCTTCTCCAACAGACCATCCTCACGGAGCATGTTGTCAAGCTCCATCCGAGCCTCCTTCATCCGTTTTAGGTCACTGGAATCGACCATGAAGACCAGAGCATCTACATTTTCATATCCCTGGAAGTAGGCTCGCCAGAATGGCCTCATGTTGCCGCGGCCACCAAGGTCCCATGATACCATCGTCGTGAGGCTCAGCTTTCCCCGAATCTTAAGGGTCTTGACATTCAAGCCAATGGTAGGGATGTCGGTGCGGACCTCACCCGCCTTCAGCGTGTAAAGCATGGTGGTCTTTCCTGCGTTGTCCAAGCCCAGGACAAGTATGCTCTGATTGCGGCGGCCTCCCTTCAAAAGAGAGGCGGCGACCCCCATGGCTAAGGCTGGCTGAGGCTGCAAGCAACGTGTCGCCTTGAGTTGAACTGGCGCCTTCCAGTCTGCAGGTATCGGCCGGGTTAAGCCACAATTGCCACGGCCTGGCTAGGTTCTCACCCACACTGGAAGGGAGCCCTTCGAAAGGGGGGAATTTTTCCTTTGTAGGCGCTGGATGTTCATTCAGAAGCTTAAGTACACACTGAGGGGAATGCACATAGAGACGATTTACCTTAACTTGGCCTGCGAGCTGGCAGGGAATCCCCAAGGAGCCATTCGATTTTGTTGCTACATGCGAATGCCGACCGTTGATCTTTGAAGTACATTGACTGCACGCATCCACGTGCCGGACACAAACCGGAGACCTTGAACCCACATCAACGCCTACACTGGATGTGTGTCCGATGGACCACACGCGGCGATCGAGACCAGTTCCGCGAAGTCCCCAGAGCAAACGATGTTTCATGTTTCACATAGAAGTGACATGATTGATCAATGGTCTGATGCCTTTGTTGCTTGGGTTTCACTTACACTCCCCAAAGGCCCACCGAGCCCCTGTTTCCGTTTCTGTTGCCGGCAGCTGGGATCCTTCCTGCACAGGACCCGATTGGGGGTTTACGAAAGATAGGGGACCCCCCAATATAGATCTGCCAAATAGCAGGATTCCTGTATAATAAGGACCTCAATAAGGTGCCCCTGATTTTGGAAATCCCTGATATGGCATCTCGGATATGCATCCTGGGTCATGCTCTTAGGCTCCGAAGCGCAACTAGCCTGATTGTGGATGCCAATCAGTGAGCATTTACACCGAAGTACCCCTCCCCCCCTCCCCAAGTACCGGGTCTCCCAACCTGACGCGCCGTCAAGGGCCATGCCTGAACAGGGAACACCTATAAGGACCACGCCCTGAAACCCTAAAACCTAACCCTAAACCCTACACCCTGAACCCTAAACCCTAACCCTGAACCCTGAGGGTTCAGGGTTTAGGGTTTAGGTTGGGATGTTCCCCCCTATACTACCTGTCCTTGCCAGGGATTATAATACCCCGCCACTCTGGGTCTTTATTAAGGAGCTCTTAGTATCAGGGTGAACATCACAAGGTTTAGGGTTTTAGGGTTTCAGGGTTCTTGCTCCCGGCCTCTTCCAAACTGGACTTTGCTCGCTGCAGGTCTCAGTCGATCAACGAAGGGAGTACGAAGCTTCTGTAAACGCTTGCAAATGTCCAGAGGGTTTAGGGTTTAGGGTTTAGGGGCTATGGCTGTTCTTGCAAGTGGCTGCAGTTGTACGCGGATAGATACGGTAAGGGTAAGTGGTTTAGACAATTCGTGCACCCCACAGATATTCGAACATCAATATCTGATGCATACTATTTATACTACTATAAACATATTGGCATACGACTATAAAAGTATTAGTATACTGCTAGAAACATGATAGTACACTACTACAAACGTATCAAGACTTTGAAAGCTGTGCCTGAGCTTAGCCTGGCACCCACAAGCCACCCGAGGCCGGAGATGACGAACACGTCATCGGGGCTCTTGGCCTGGCACCCAATAGACCCTAAACCCTAAACCCTTTTAGACCCTAAACCCTAAACCCTCAACCCCACAGTAAGATAGGAACCTTCCCAAATTGCAGCAGCTTGTGGCATATCAGAAAGTTGCAGAGAGGGAATCTCATACTACCCTAAACTCTAAACCTTTTAAACCCTGAACCCTAAACCCTAGTGGTAAGGGAAGGAATCCTGGATCCTCCAGGAGGCGAAGGGGGCCGAGGCTGGGAGCAAACCTGGCCTCGAAAAACGAAGTGCCCATTTGGGGGTTTATATTGGGGGTTTAGGGTTTAGGGTTCAGGGTTAGGGTTTAGGGCAATTCCGAAACTAGGGGTACCTTGTTGGGTTCCTTATGCTAAGGGAATCCTCCTATTTGGGGGTTTATGTTGGAGTCCCTTATTTTCGCAAGTTTGTTTTAATTTCGCCTAGGTTTTGGATTTTTGCTCAGGAAGGAACCCCCCTCTTCCCTTTTAAACGTGTGGGAGGGGATGGTGGAAAAAAGGGGGTTAGGTATCCTAATCCCGCCCGCGCTCTTTCTGAATCGCTCTAGTTGTCTGCAGCCGCGTCTAATGCCCGTGGGGGGTCCTTCGCCGAACAGCGGAATTCTAGGGCTCGGGGCTACGACTCTCATAGTTAGTGCAAGCAGGCGAGGTCCGCGAATCTCAAGGCCAACAGGTTTAGGGCTCAAGGTTTAGGGCTTAAGTAGCCTGGGGTCTTGGGCTTCACGGCTGTCAGTGATTCGACGAAAGTGGTGGAAGATAGTTTCAGAGCTCATCTGGAGCCTCATTGTGGTAAACAAGCACAAGACTTTCGGCTCAGGCGTTTCTGGCGTTTTCAGGGCTTCTGCCTGGAGGTCCACAACCACGAGTCTCAGAAGCTGCTTTGAATATCGAAAGATGATGGGTGGGGGCTACTATAATACGGAGCACTCGATTTTAGGGGCCCCACAGGTGGGGTTGATGTTTGGGACTGTAAGACAGTCGGGAAATGACCTGAACCTGCGTAAGCGTTCACCTATTTTGCAGCTGTACCCATGAGCCTTGAGATAGGCTCAGTGTGCCACAGCAAAGCCCACCTGCTGCGATTGCCCCAAGAATTTGAGGACCTGCAAACCAGGACAACCCCACCAAGCCACCATCCTCCGATTGCCCGAAACCCTAAACCACGAAAATCTGCAAGTCATGTCCTGTACAGCCACGGGGGCGAAACGGGCGCCCAGCGCGGGAAGAGCAGACTGCGCCACAGCTCCAGGGTTTGGGAATGAAGGGTTTTACCGTAGGGTTTAGGGTTCAGGGTTTAGGGCTTAGAGCTATTATACCCTATAATCCCTTAAACATGCCCTTCTTAGGGTTCATTTTGGGGCTTATAAGGCCGAATAGCCAATCCTGGTTGTTACTTGGGCCAGGAGCCCTTCAGTGCGCGCATTAGGCTTCCGCTCACGCACTCAGGGAATCCAGGGGAACTTGCTTCTACACAACGAACAGGATTGGTTGTAGTTTGGGTTTAAGGCTGCGGGTTATGTCTCTTTCGTTTCCGCCTGTTCTCTTTCATTGGCTGTTTGCTCTCCTTGCTTTCTTCCAGCTCGCATTCTCGCGTATTCTTTCTCTCTATTCCTCTCTCCTTCTCCTTCTCTCCACAGCGGAGAGGCGCATGGGGCTCCCGGCCACGGCCTTCCTCACTCTGTCTGTCTGTCTCTCATTCGCTACCACGCCACCACAAAGATGTGGCAAAAGCAAGGTTGAGCAAGGCACATGAAGGCTGTAAGGGCTTCCATGGACTTGCGTGCTGCCATTTCTAGAGTGCTCGAGCCGTAGTAGACTTCCAGGGTGTGGCAGATTAGGGGTCTTCCGCTTCGGTATCTGACCCTCAGCCCACCTTTTTTGCACTGAATGAAGGCTGGGAGTCGCGGAGACCAGGGTCTCTTCTCAGACCCGATAGGGGGGTGGGGGCTTGAGGAGTATCAGCAACACGGTTGCGTTAGAAAAGAAACCCGCGCAGGGCCCCCCCACCCCCCCCGGAACTCTGAAGGGCGCGACTGCAATGTGTGAGCGTCATTGCCAGCGTCATAACGACTTGAAGCAAGCGAGCATGCGCGGGCATGACTCCAAAACCTCCAGTCTCGCGGCTGCTTGCGCGCGCCTTCGCTCTCCAACTCCACAAGAATCGCTCCAGCCGAGTCATGAACGTCCCTCCTCCTGGAAGGTATCCTCGTCAGGGACGTTGGGGCGCATCTCCTCCGAAGCTGTTTGTAGTGGCCGTAGCCAATGAAGCGTGGTCAACGGCTCCGGCATCAGGCGGCGGCAAGTCTTGATCACTCGGCAGCAGAGGCGGCCACAGCATGCGTGTCATCCATGAGGTCCCCGCCCGTGCCGACGTCGACCTCCTGACGCGGTATATACTTGAGAACTTCGGCAGCAGAAGCAACCTCAGGGAAGCTTAGGGAGCCTTAGGGAGTAGTAGGGAGTATTCGGGAACCTTGCATTAATCACTCCGGAGCTGACAGCTCAGCTCCTCAGCTGCTGATGAAGAAGCTGGAGCTGCTCGAGGCAGAGAGACCTCTGACCTGAGGAAGGCACGGCAAAGTCAAACCGCACGTTTGCGAGTTCGGGGTCGGGTATCCCTAAGGCTCCAAGTAGCCCAAAGTAGGTGTTTTGTTTGTGCACTTGGAGCCCCACAGGGTGTCTGTTTGGGTATTCTTTTGCAGACTTTAGACCCCAATGTAGGTGTCATTTGTGTACTTGGAGCCCTAGGATATGTCAGAAGAGGGAGCTGCCAAAATCTCATTCCCCTTGTGTCGGCTAATGTGACTGTGAGTGAGGTCAAGCTGCACGGGCGCATCCGCAGTGTGGCTGCTGCCAGCGTCCTGGAGATTAGCATCTACCCTAAACCCTAACCCTAAACCCTATAAGCCCTAAACCCTAAACCCTAAACCCGAAACCCTAAACCTAAACCCTAAACCCTAAACCCTAAACCCTCGGCACTTCTTTTGCAAGCTCCAGCTGGGGGCTCGACCTGCATTAGATACATGATTTTTCTGCACCCGAATCGAGTTTTCGAGTCAATAAATAGCTATTGAATATAACGTTGCTTCAGAATGTGGGCTAGCCGGCCACAGAGAGACTCTGTGGCAACGCTTCGTGCTGAGTTCAAAGACCTGAGACTCCGATTCGGAGCACTGAATTAGCCTCCTCGGCCTATCTTGCCGTTACTTACGCTGAGAGGCAGGAGATGTGGCGGGCCCCTTTGTGCACCTTCCTCGTGATGTGTACTTGTTTAGGTTACCTGAGAAGTGCAGCCCTAGGCCATAAGCAGGAGGAAGAAGGCTCACGTGGCCTGAACCAACCTAAACCCTAAACCCTATGCGTTTACCAAGTTTAAACTTTACATAACCCTTGCCTCGTCCCCAGCAGCGGAGCTCTCCGCCGCGGGGTCCATCCCTCTGGCCTGTGTGTAAGGGAGGAGATTGAAAGCTACCAGGATGGGCTATTATACCCTATCATCCCTTAAAAATGCCCAATGCCCTTTATAGGGTTTCATTATGGGGATATCAAGGCCGACTAGCCATCCTGGTATGTGACTTTGTCTGCTTTTCGAGGGCTTTCGATGGCTTTCTGGGTCAGCCGCTCCCCCCCTCTTGGCGGCAAAGTCAGGGCTTACAAGGGGAGCTAGGGGCAAGGGCTCGACAGAGAAGTCCACATCCAAGGCACGTCACCGGCCTCCTCCATCACATTGGGTGCTGCATCAACTGTAGCTGATCCAGCCTCAGCACCAGCGCAGATGGCGACAGATACTCTGCTTCAAACGCCAGGCAACTTGACAGGACATGCTCATTGGGCTCCCAGAGCTCTGTAAATGTTTGTGCACCTGCTTTGCTCCTGGGAGACTTCGCCAGACGTGCTACCAGATTGCATGGTGGCAGGGTAGTTGCCGAGGTGCATAGCCATCATCAGCTGGCTTGGTCCCTGCACGCAGAATGAGGATTCTGTGACGTGGAGTGCTTCAGGCTCACGGTTTTCGGGCTCGGTGATTACTATTCTGCCTGCTAGCTTGTTCATGCTTTCGCGTGCGTGGGAAGCATGGACCACCCGCCTGAACCCAACCAACAATCCCACCCACCCACCCCTCCGACGGGCAGACAAACCATCTGCCTGGTATCTTAGGCCCTATAGGTGCGAAACCGTGAAGCCGTCGACCTGATGCGATCGGTAACATCCACAGACCTTGCACTTCGCCAGAATGCTGTCACCCCTTCGCAACCTAGGACAAGAAGCGTCGCAAACTTAGTTGAGATACTTGGTAGACCAGAAACCATAATAATAGAATGAGGGTACCCAGGTCTTTGGGCTGGTTATAAGGGAACCTTGAGCCAACAAACAGGGCAAAAGGGTACACAGTGCTACCAAGGAATACAGTAACAACCACCACCTCTACACCCACCTCGAAGTTCCTGTGATCCTCACAAGAAATGGGCACTTTCTTAAATTTGCAGCCCCACCTCGGGTAAGGATGGGCGGATCAAAGCCTCGCGAGCGCCTTGGTGGAACAAAAAAAACATGGGCTTCAGGGATATAGGGTAGGGTGTATAATTTGGAGCAAAAGCCTTCATGGGTAGCTAGCCGCAGGTGGGGGCGAAAACTGGACAGCTGTAGTTGCTTTCCGGTTCGACCTTCTTGGGGATAGTTAAAGACAAAAACCTACCTATGTGAAACTTCGAGATTCAAGAATATATAGGGCAGCTGCGACTTCAAGTCTGCTGGGCCCCAGAAGTTATAACTCCCACGACTCGGACAAACCCCAGGCCGTTCTACGTCCACTCAGGGCAGGGAGATCTCTAAGACAACTCAATCCTTGCCCGCGTGTGGTACATGTTTCTTGTCTGCAAGCATGCCCTTCAGGTCCCGCAGCTGTAGGAGTGCTGTGGCTCTAAACCCTAAACCCTGAGCCCTAAACCCTAAGCCCTGAGGATCTTTGCCAAACGAAGAGCTGTGTCGGCCGCTCAGCTGCCAGGTAGGCAGGGCTTTCGATCACTGCCAACGTCGCTTCGAGACCTTGTGCAAATCAGCCCACTAATCTACTATTTGCTTAAGAACCCCCTCCCAAAAAAAATGAAAATCTCGATCTTGCCCTTATAAGGAGGATTACTTTTCTTTTTTGGGGGTTCTTGCGCAATTAGTAGTAATCATGCAGCCAGGGTCTTAGCCTTCGCTTTGGCACAGCTTGTGCCTTAACAAGGGGCCCTTTCAGGGCTTACTGCGCAGCACTCGGCATGTTCAATTTGGGTACCCGAAAAGGAACCGTATTTCCGTGTGTTTATGTATACGTGCATATGCCTAAGTCTAACCCTGTTGATCTCTCTAGATATCCATATATATATATATACGTTGTTTTGCGTATGTACTTGCAGCTTGCATGGGGATCCTACCGCTCAGACTTCAAAGGCTGGCGGGCTAATGTGCGAGTGGGTCTTCTCTACTGCCTTTGCATCCTTGGTTCAATGTGGAGGACAGCGGCATCAAACCGAGCAACCCCAACAGGAGGTATGGCTCGACCTATCGGAAGTCCAACTCTTCTTGTGCATCCTTGGCGCCATAATGGTCCGAAAGCTGTGTCACCGGCGCTCCGACATCTTTGGCCCTGCAGGATTCGGTTGTCCCGGCCGTGAAGGTTAACTTTAAGCCCTGCCTCCAATGTCTTAAGGTGATTCTCTGTGCTCTGTTTACCTGGTAAGCATGTGTCTCAGTCTTTTCGGAACCTTATTCGCTCGCATTCATGGAGATGGTGATCTTACGCTGGACATGAAGCCTGGAGCCCCATAGACAGGAACTTTTGATGTTGTCTTCGGGAGTGCAGCTGGAAAGCCTCTGCCTTCTGAGAACCATAAAATGCTCGAGACTCTCAGGGTAGTTATGTGGGCCCTTCATATGGTCTCTCACCTCCTTTAAGGGTGCTGAAGTATGGGACCTTGGGTTGTATAAGGTTCATAAGGGGATGATAAGGGGTCCGTTTTCAGGGCCCGTAGTAAGGGACCTTGCAACTACCCAAAGAGGGACACCTCCACTTCACACACCCTTTGTCACCGTTGCGCGGGGAACAACGTTGGGGCTTTTGATGTGTAGCGAAAGTCCAATGCAGGCACCACGGCTATTTCTTTGTGCATCTTCACACGCACTCATGCATGAAGACCATCTCTGGCCTGTCCACTGCAAACTTCTCCAAATGGCACCTGGAGCGCAACACCAACAAAAAAGACTTGGGAACTTGCATTTCAAGGCTCAATGCAACCATTCCATGCTACCCTGCAATTCCCAAGCAGGGATCAGGGAGAATCCGTATATTGCAACCCTCAGGCCTTACAGACCCTACAGGCCTTACAATATGACTCGAAGCACCTGAAGAAGCCCTGATTCTTCCGAAACATTCTTTTGCCACCCTAAACCCGAAACCCGAAACCCTTTTTGAACCCAGGCTCTGAGCGTCAGCTTCTGGACCCTAAACCCGAAACCCTAAACCCTAAACCCTAAAACCTCACCCTGCTACCATGCCGAGGGGCGTGGCCGGGACAACGGGCTCTGGAAAGGAGCCATCCTGGTTGAAAGGTTCCAGGGGTTCAGGGAGGGTTCAGGGCCTCTTATCGGAACTCTTGAGCCGCTCTTTTGCATTTCAATCGCTTGTGGGCTTAAAGTTTTTTCCCACCCGTTTTTCGGGCTCTTAAGGTTCAGGATATCACTGTGATAGAAGCAACTTCCACTCCGCGGTCCGGTTTGGTTGCGAGACTCCCCCCCCCCCCCAACACCATTCCACATTTGAGAAGCTTCGGGATGTAGTCAAGCCTCCTACACGGGAACGCTGCTTTGTGTAAGACAAGGGTCCTCCATGTCGGAAGCCGGACGGTATGGAAAGAAGAACCTCAATCGGCAAACAGGTCGGGTTCGAGTCGCTCTTATACCGTATATACCCCAGACCAGCAGCTGCAGGCTTCGTCCTCCTAGGTCCACAGGCTAAATTCGTAAAGGTGTTGGTGCCCTAAGATCTTGAAGAGAAGAAGCCCAAGTCGCAAATTCTTGTGTGGGACGTGTGGGAGGAACTCGGGGCCTTCTTCTGCGGAGTGCAGCAGGAGCTTACCAGGATGGGCTCTGCGGCCTTAGAATCCCCACAATGAATCCTATGAACGGGGGTTTTTGAGGCATTATAGGGTATAGTAGCCCATCCTGGTAAGGGCTCGAGGACTGCGTCGGTGTCGATACTGCAATGGAGCTCTGGACCCAGGGACAACCCCTCAATGCACCAGGCGAAGTCTAAACCCTAAACCCCAAACCCTCAACCCCAAAACCCTAACCCTAAACCTGCAAACAAGAGGCATGTAGTCTAGGCACTGCCGCTTCAGCACATCACTGGAGTAAACGCTCCTTGCACGGGAAACAAGTTTAGGGTCTAGGGTTTAGGGTTTGCTCTGAGCTGCAGCGCAGGAGCCAGGGTAACCATACGCAGAACCCCTAAAATTGGGGTCATATACCCTATACTACTACGTATATCCTTATTGAGGTACATGAACAATAGCCCCTTTCGGGACCCTATGAAGGCACACGGACTCTCGCGAGCCTTCATTTGGGGGTCTCTCTTTTGTTTGCGCAAGTGGTTGGATTTCAGGTTTGTTTGGAAGGAAACGTACATGTCGGCCCGGGATTGGCCCAAAGGACCAACAAACTCTTGGAATCTCCACGGAAACATTCTTCGACATACTCCAACCAGCCAAGCAACCCTGAACCCTAAACCCTAAGCAATCGCAAACGGTCTTGGAGACTTGGTCCCAGCGTCGCGTTCGTCAGCACGCGCTCGACGGGGACTTCGCCACTGCCCGTCAGCCGCGTGTCGGCATAGGTTACCTGAGCCGAGAGATATAGGGGCCTGAATAATTAGAATAGGGTGTTTGGGGGTTATTCTACTAGAAGTACAAAGGGGCCATAAGGGAAGATTATTAGAGACATAACGTGCCAGTGCCTCGCAAGTATAGTCATAGTGATTTGTTCAAAGTAATCGTTCTTAGACATGGAAAAGTTGCTGGCCCGCCCGGTACCTTTTGGAAGAGGGTGCGTCGGAATAAGGGTCCATGCTTTTCGTTGAACATAACACTGCTTCAAGGGTTTGCGTTGCGACGTGTCCTGTTTTGAAAGGGGTCAGGGTGGAAGACATTCGAGGCCCTCGTCGCCTGCCGCCCCCCCCCCCCCCCCCCTTACCCCCTTACCCCCCCCTTACCCCCCCCCTTACCCCCCCCCCTTAACCCCCCCCCCCTTCCCCCCCCCCCCCCCCCCTTCCCCCCCCCCCTTGCCCCCCCCCCTTGCCCCCCCCCCTTGCCCCCCCCCCTTGCCCCCCCCCCCCCCCCCCCTTACCCCCCCCCTTACCCCCCCTTACCCCCCCCCCCTTACCCCCCCTTACCCCCCCTTTCCCCCCCTTCCCCCCCCCCCCCTTACCCCCCCCTTTCCCCCCCCTTTCCCCCCCCTTACCCCCCCCTTTCCCCCCCCTCAACAAAGAAAGTGGAGGCCCAAAACACCCACAGAGGCCCAAGACTTGGCAAAGTCCTTCAGTAGGTCTTTCGGTAGTGCCTTGCTTAGGGCCTTTTGAGGGTTTGGGGTTCCTTGATCCTGCAGTCGAGAGGCCGGATGCGTGCCGCAGACATCGAAGAGGAGATCACGGACCTGGTTGCAGATTTTTGACTTCGACTTCTTGGCTCAGAACCATCATGCCAGGAACAGGCAAGGAGACTGTTTTCACACACAGGAGCCACCCACCTCTCCAAGCTCATCCCGCAGAAGCTGCAACACTGCCCGATACTCGGAGCTGTGCCCACCATCCTTGTCTGCACTATGCAGCTTAAGTGGGCTTTTCGTCGCATGTTGCGCCTCGTAGCTAAGTAAGGCAGCGGCGACAGTGGGTTGCAGAAACTTACGGAGAGGCCCTCAGTCCAAGGGGCCATCAGTCCGCGCCGGCCGTTGAAATTCAGCGTGCCACAAAGCAAAAGTGGCCACTGGCGCCTAGGTTTACCTGTGGCAGGGCAGGGCTGCTAAATGTGGACATCGGAGTGGATGTCTGGGCGGATAGCTCGAGGAGGGCCGTGGCTGCATGTGGCAAGCTTTCATTCCTGCCTGTATCGGACATCGTGTCGTCAGTTTGCTCACGGAGAAAGCTCACAAGACCTGCGCTGCAAAGCTGTCGCACTGTCGAAGACATGCCAGGACAGCTTGCATTCTGCGCAGGCTTTGTGCCGAGACCCCGGCTTGTGAGCTGTTTGTGGCGTATTGCTTGGGACGACTGAAAGGAGTCCTCCCAGAGGAGAAGGCAAGCATTTGGCACATCTACTTGGAGGTTCATGGATGGTCATGATGGGACATAGATGACTATATGTAGGGCAGCTATGGGTAACCTTAGTATCGGGTTTTAATTAAAACTCTACTCCTACTTAACCCTCCTCCAATCGGAGAAGCACCTACAACCGAGTCCGCGCCCTTTCTGTGGAGCCGCCAAGTCCCCCTCACCCCTTCCGTTGGCTTTCCAGGGTTCAAGGCTTAGGCAATTTTAGAGTTGAAGATGTTTTTGGGCCTCTACGGCTGAAGGCCCTAAATAACCCTTAACCCTAAACCGTAAACCCGAACCCTACACTATAAGCCCTAAGCCCTAAACCCTCAAACCCTCAAAACCCACCACAGCTGGTCAGGCCTCGGAGTAGGTGCTCTGGAGATGGGTTGTGCAGACGTGGAGGAAGGGACCCGTCGGTCCACACTGCACCTTGCGGAGTTTCGCGTGCCCCATAAGAGCCTTCAACTAAGGAAGATTGGGGTTTAGGGTTTAGGGTTTAGGGTTTAGGGGTTAAGGGGTTAAGGGGTTAAGGTTCAGGGATTGTGGATCTGGGAGTCCCCATGTGAATTGCTCGGCGCGGTCTCTGGAATCCGCGCAGCTGTGCCCGACGGCACTGTAAACCAGCACGTCATCGGGACATATCGGGACTGTCTCGCAGAGCTAAAACTACCGGGGGACATTCCAATTCACCAGCTGATCCGACAGGACATCCAGAGGAAATGACGAAACTTCGACGATTGATTCTTGCTTCCACAGGTTGGACTGTCAAGAAGTCCTCCTGGCGCTATGCTACGATTTGTTGACTTACTATTGCCGGTCTTTTCCATGATGCAGAGATTGCCAGATTTGCTAGATGAGCTTGGGACAGGCTCAAAGCTGTTTGTGAGAATTGGTAGAGAACGTGCAGACAGTTCTGCACAAGAGCATGGCCACACAAGTTGGAAACTCAAAGTGCCGCTGCCTTCGACAATCTGGAGGAAATACTCAAAGACCTCTTCAAACTTTCTGGGGGAGAGATGCAAGATTCCGGGCAACAAAAGCAGCCGGACACGAAAGTCAGATGAGTCAGTGCCTGACCGTATGCGTATCAGAGGCCCATGCACCGACTGAACTGCCACGAACTTTGCCGCGCACCGGCGGCGTCCTCGAGCGGGGCCTTGTAGGACCTGCACGGTGACGTTGCCACCATGGTCTCTTCCAACCTGGACATGGCTCCAGCAAGCATCGGTAGTCCCAAGCAACACTAAGCCGACAGAGTCGTCGAAAACTAGGCTGTCCTGTATCAGATCACAACCTCCTGACCGGTTCACATGCATGCCCAATGATGGCACCAAGCAATATGGGCCTCCACAGGCCCCACTGGCAGAGACAACGCCTTGCTGACAATACGGATGTTCGTGATAGAACCTTCTCCACAAATGACGGAGCTCATGGCGAATAAACGCAATGTCTTCCTCGTGGAACGGTTCCGGGAGGCCCTCCGTTCCGTTGCATGCAGGTAGAGTCCGCGTGTCAGCAAGAATAAAGCCCATTGCCGACATCTCATTTTGTATTTCATCACATTTCGCCTGGCCCTCGTAGAGCGACGCCTCAAACGTGCCTTGTGCCTCCATGACTACGTAAAGAAGCTGCCTTACAAATGGACCAGCTGATTTGACAACGTCCAGGTCACTGCCCTGCGCATCAATCTTCATGCGCGCGATGGGCCGGCCATGCAACCACTCACCAAGCACCGTCGCCAGCGAAATGCAAGGCACTTCCCGCCGCTCAGCAAGCGCAGTGCAGTTTTCCTCCACCCACTTGGGCCAAGATCTGCTGTACCTGGTTTCATCCCGGTTGTTCTGCTTGAAGTCACCTGCAGGGGCCCGAAGGCTGCTGCAACCATCCAGCGGCGAGACGTGGAACGTTGCTGTTGCGCCCCTGCAAGTGCTCACTGCGTGAGGGAGCACGAGAGCACGACGATGCTGAAGCCCAAGGTGCATAAAGTCCTGGCTTGGGGCACGGTGAGAGAGAAGGAACCCATACTTGTCCAGAAGGGGCTCGAAGCTGATCAAGAATCCACCAGCGTGGTCTTGCAACATCGGCTCCAGGAAGTCTCGCTCCAACTCATGGTTGTTCGCTCCCACCTCCAGGAAAAGGAAGGAGGGGTCGCTAGCCAAGTGATGCCAGTTGCGCTCGAAGGGCAAGTGAGCCACCTGCACATCGGCGTAGAGGCCAGCTGGAGCAGGTGGAGCCATGCTGGACCAGCAGCTCTAGACACGCATCGTAAAACCATGCCAGAAAACATCCTATTACTGATGTGAGTAAGGGTGTCTGGATTGTGCGGAATTGGGCTTTCTGGGATCAAGCAACTTGATTATCTTAGGGGTGGAGGCTCCAACTCCTAACGAAGGATGGGATGGATCATTCTCCTTGTACCTTTTCTCGCAGATGAAACATGTCTCGAAATCTTGCAGGCATTTCCCAGTTGAGGGCGGCCAGGTCCTTGAAATCCTGATCCCACAACGGTCAGTGCCATAGTATGATACCCAAGAACTCAACGAGCACGCTAATTCAGGGGACCTACCGTGCAGATTTATGGGGCCTCCTTGAAGCTTCATATGTCGGTGGAGATCGTATTCCCATCCCCATGCCATATGAAAAACCACACAACTATGTAACATAGTATGTGTATATGGATGTATGTATACACCATTGTACGCGCAACTCCGTCGTCAGATTTCACAACCGAAGGTAACAAAATCAAGCAAACCCTCAAACTCATAGGAAGTTTCCCTCCATCCCCCAGGCCGCTTCCCTTTCCTGACTGTCCAAAAAGACTACCATATTCGAGGGCCCTATGAAATGAATACCAAGCCAACCCTAACAAACCAACACAGGACCTGAACCGTAAACCTTAAACCTAAACCCGAAACCCTAAACCCTAAACCCCCCTGAGCCCAGGGACCTTTGCATAGAGCGCCCCCTTGGCAGAGAAGCGGTCCAGACTCGTCCCAGGGTCGAAGGTCATGGAGGACTTGAAGACCTGTCTAGAGGTTTTTTGGAGGGATTAGGGGATTCAATCATTCGATGCTCGCACTCGCACAAGGAAGGCCAGGCAGCTGTCCGATGGTGCAGCAAAAGCTCGTGTCGCACGCTTTTGTGTGTTCTGCGCACGTCCGCGCAAAGGTCTGTCCCGAGCACTTCACTGTGCCTCTGGAGTTTCGGGTGCCCAGGGCTCCAGCAGCTTGGACAAGGACGGCGTGTCCTCAGACAAGAGGGAAGTTGCCCTTGCAAGCTCCTCTCGCAAACGCTGGAAGCTCCACCACGTCATGCTGCTTCCCAGGTTGGTCTTCGGGGCAAAGGGATCTTCGATGTTGGGCCCACACTCCACGGTCTTGCCATCCTCGTGCTCGATCAGGTTGATTGGCAGCGATAGTGGGGCCGGTCCCGAGGTTCCCTTGAGCACGCAAACTGCCTGCTGCTTCCAGGGGAAGTTCTTGTAGAAGTGCATGAAGCCGCAGAGCAGTTCAGCCAAGGAGACCTTCGTCATCTCATCCTTCATTTGCCAGGTCTTCTTGACACGACGGTCGGGCAGGAGGTTTGCGATGGCCTCGAACTCCTCCATGGGCGGCAGGAGGGCCCCTTCGGGCCGCTCGGCCACCTGGAGGTAGTAGACCACCAGCAGACTCCACACATAGGGCGACAGGTGCCCCTTCGGTGCATGGCACACACCCCGGTCCTTTGCCCAACGACGGATGATCAAGATCAGCTCCTTGCTGCGTGGGTTGATGTTGCCGCACTCAGTGACCAAGGCAGCGCTGTGCAGCGGCGACACGGCGTTCACAGCAATGTCGACGGGCACGGCCTGGTTGAAGATGCCGAGCTCACTGGGCACCAACAGGGTCATCTTGGGTTCGTTCCCACGGAAGCCCGAGCGCCGGAACTTGAAGCCGCCCGCTGAGACCAGCCGATCTGCGCAGTGGCGCAGGGCCCACTTCTGCAGCATGCGGGGATCGGATGAGACCTTGGCCGGACGCGATGCAACTTTCGGTGACACACGGTCTGGGCGGACGTTGATGACAATGTCCACATCCGGCACCGCCACGCCATTCGCACGACCCCGGGAGAGGTCACTGCTTGCGAATCCAACCACTTCCACCTCGGGAAGGCTGCTGGCAAGCATCACGCGAATTGCCTCTGCAAGCCGATCTACTCCACGCTGGCTAGCGGCTGTGGGCATGATCTGCGACACGAGCTCCTGAACCTCCTCTTGAAGGCTCTGTCCTTGAAACTTGGGGGCAACAATAGGTACGGCTGGTGTCTGAGCCTGTGTGTCGACGTGTGTACCGGGCTTCTTCGTCGTGGGGATGCGCTTTGGTTTGCGAAGTTGCACCTCACGCACCTCACGAACAGGACGCTCACTGGACGAGTCGGAGTCCGCTGCGTTGCAGGCTTTCAACTTCTTCGAGGCGCTTGCAGGCACGGACACGGATCGCTGGAGCAATTGCACCACGTAGTAGCAGAATGCTCCAAGGCACGCGAAGATGAGCTGGGTCAGGTCAAGAGGCACCACAATGCAGATTGCGGTGAGGACGAGCAGAATCAGGAGATTGTTGGAAGGCTGCATCACAGCCCCAAACGGGCTGGAGGAGGCCTTCAGAGACATGGACATGGCTACACAGTAGATGGATCGTGCGCCCGGATCGATGTTCTTCGATCTCAGGTGCTGCTGGAGAGCTGTCCTTCAGCAAATAGTGGTCTTACTATAACTGGCGCGAGTATTCTGTGAATATCTTGAGCCGCAGCCACAGGGCTTTTGGGTCTCCGATGCTATGCACAGCTTTGGCCTTAATTAAGATTTTCGAGCTCAAAGGACGTGATCTGCAGCTCGCCCGTCCCTGAGGCTCCCACAATCGGCAACCGCGAGAGGATCAGGAGTCCCCCGTCCTTGGCAAAAAAAAACTCTTCCGGAGCTGAAAACTGCAAGTTCTGCGTGTGTTTGTGCTCGTGCGCATGTGTATGCATGTATGTAAATGTAAATGTACATGTAAATGCAAATGTAAATGTAAGTTTGTATGTATGTATGTATGTGTGCGTGCGCACGTGTTTTGTAGCCGTGCGTTCGTGTGATTGAGTGAAGTGAGTGAAGTGAGTGAGGTGAGTGAAGTGAGTGAAGTGAGTGAAGTGAGTGTGGGTAAGCAAACATAACTCTCCCCGTGTACATGTCGAAGGCAGACAGCAGCCTGCCCCAAAGAGCCGAGCATCTACGATGAAGCGCGGCCGGACGCCCGTGGAGGAGCGGTGGGAGTCCTCGCGTTCAGGGATTCGTTCCTTAAGGCCTGCTACTTGCAAGTAACCTAACAAATCATGCTGTCCATTGCCTACCAGCGTCTAGACAACCCCATGCCTCTCTAGGATGGCGTACAGCCCAACCACCCACACACAGACTCATATGGAGGTTTACGAGAATCGGGATGCCTTATTGGGGTCCTGATTACAAGAGACTCCTACTATTTGACTATTTGGGGTGGGTCCCTGATCATCGAAAGGCCCTATATGACGCATAGGACCAAACAATCACAGTGGTGCTGCTCTTCCGCTTGGAGACTCATGGTACTTATTATCCAATTATAGCTGTACTTATAACTGTACTTATAGCCATATTAGGGCACTTAAGGGCTTATAAGTGGGTTATGAGTACAATCGGTTAAGAAGTACCATGAACCTCCAAGCGGGGAAGACCACACAACACCTGGCCTTCAGGCCAAATCGCTTTGCCACGTTGATCAGCCAATCGCGTCTCCTATGTCAGTCTGTCTGGGTCATGAGGGTGCGGGGGAAGCAAAATTGAGCAAACTTGGCTTAAGATGGGAAAGGACTGATCTGATTGATCTAGGGCAATCACTGCGAGCATTTTTCAGATCAATTTTCCTTAAGATACCAGCCGCCTCAAAGTAACGTGTCGCAAAACACAAAAGATTCGCAGGCCTTGCCATGTATACAATTCGTCAGAAAGGGCACCCTCAAGCCTCATGCTAGCAATGACTCCTGCACAACATATCTGGCCAAGCTTCTGAGAAAATGCGCCGTACACTTCTTGCAAGCACAACAGGTCGTACCTGCAGCAAATCAATCTCAACAGGGAGCTTTCTGGAATCTTGCTATCATTGCCTGACCTGCTTCTGAACGGCTTCGTCGTTGTTTGTAAGCAGACATTGAAGGCCCTGTACTAGTCACGCCTGCCAAGGCTATGTTCTGATTTCAAGAACAAGGCAAAGCCTGCATCAGGACTGGTGCTCTGAAGGCTCCTGGCTGTTGCTGAGCTGCTTGAACTACGTGGGGTGATGATATTTCAGAAGTAATTACAACCTATGGAAAGATGAAATCCATGCCTCGCCAGGTGCTCGACAAATCGGCACAAGCGTTCATCCTCAAACAAGCTGCTCGACAAAGTCTGTTTACTCCGCGCAATGCAGCATGAATGCGGGGTCTGCTTGCCAGCTTGCGCCAGAAATGGGCGCTGTGCCCTGCCCTCTACTTGCCCAAGATGGTTGGAATTGAAACCCGGTCTAAGCCCGGAACCCCCAACCGGCAGACCCAAAGCCCTGGACCTATTTTCTGACCTCATATCCGACAGAGTCAAAGCAACTCCTGCATCAAATCCGAAAATCCCCCCACACCCCAAATCGTTGAGGGTTGAGTGTTGTGGTCTAAACCCCAAAAAACCCTCTTCTCTCACCCTCAAAAACCTAAATCCCCAAAAATCTAAGCCCCAAAAGACCTACACCCGAAACCCAAAACCCTAAACCCCAAACCCAAGTCCTTGCGGTCGTTGTCGGTGTTGTGCGTGAACTGAGGAGCCGGGGCCCTAGACAGGTCCAGGGGGCGCTGGGGGCTTGCAGGGCAGGGAAAGGTTCGGAGGGCTAACTGTTAAAGGGTTTTCGGGTGTTTAGGGTACTTGGGGTTGTTCATGGTTGGGCTAGTATTTAAAATCTACATGTATATGCCAGTTTACAAATGTAACATGTTGCCCACAATGACAAAGTTAAAGGGTTTAGGGTGGCTATATAGGGTTTAGGGTATTCGGGGTTTAGGGATTTAAGGTTATGCAGCAGGCGAGTGAGAACCCGAGCTGGTCACCGCTGCTATTTTGGTTCTCCCGGCAACCTGACACAGGTACACAGAGAGCTTCAATGAAGAAGGCGGTCCATTGGTCCATGCTATGCCAGCATCCGGCTGGGTGGCAAAGGAGCGACTGCGTGTTCGCGGGTTTGCGGTGTGATCACATCGCAGAAGCATAAATGCAATTTGAGAGCACCCCCCCCACTGCGAGCCTCAGAAAGAGGTTGTAGGTCAAGAGGCGCAAGACCTAACTACAAGCATCACTGTGGGAGCCGCTGCTTCAAAGCATCTTTTCGGGGAATTGTGGCGTGCGGAATGCATGAAGCCGTCCAGCGCCTGTTCTCTCGCGCTTCCGCCGGTCTCTGGACAAGGGCGTAAGGGACAGGGTTTTGGATGCAAGGGTTTTTCGGGCGAAGCTTGGAAGATCACCCCTGTAGGAACCTTTTCAGGAAGGTTCCAGCACCCCTAGGCTTACTGTTGGTTAGAAGGGTAATGAGTGGCCCTATATATATATATATACCCTTTAAGGGAATATATAGGGCCCTATATATACCTCATTCCCCCCATTCCCTACTACCCAACAGCAAGTAGGTTGCAATGCAGACCGGTGGCTGGAGGGAAGTCTGCGGCCCGGTCTGCGGGAAGGGGTGGAGGCGTCCCAAAGGCTGCTGGGTGCGGAAGCATCTCCTCAGGGTCTTGCTGCGAGAGAGTTTAGGCTTTGATGGGTAGGGTTTCTGGTAGGGTTTGGGGTTTAGGGTTTGGGGTTTGGGGTTTAGGGTTTGTGCCTGTTTAGGGTTTAATTAGGCTTTACGGTGCGTTCGCTTGAAAGTTCACGCGTTTTGCTCGGTTCCCATGTCATTGTATTCCATCTTGGGATTGAAGCAATTATCGGTACGAGTAGCAGGCGGCCCCTGTTGCATCTCACCCACTTAGCAAATTGAGCAAGAAACTTCTGCTTCATCTGAACAGGCACCAAGTCTGGCCGTCGGGCCATTTGTAGTAGTGACATTACCGTATTCCCCACAACCCAATCACAACCGTCACAACCATCCTGGACTCTCTGTGACAACGTTGCGCGGCGCAACGCTGAAACTTCACCAAGAAGTGTTGCTGAACTGACAAAAAGAACGTGCGGCTGGCAGCTAGCTAGCCCGAAAGCCTACTTTCTGCGGCTACTCGGAGGTTCGCGGTATTTAGAACAAGGAATTACTTTGTGCCGCTCGGTCCTCGGCAAATTTGGTCGGCACGATGCTGCTCAGATCAATGGCGTTCGCCTCGTCTGACTGAAATGGGCAATGGGTCACTGAAGTGGTGTGCATGCACCAGGAGCCCTCGGATTTCTCAAGCCCGGAGCCTAAGAACCACAGCTCAAACGTTTAAGCCAGCCGTAACGAATGCCAGCGGTAGCGAATACAGAGTGTTGAGCGCGTCACCGTGAGCAGCTTCCAGGCAGCAACCTGCTTCAGGTCAAGTGTCGGGACTCGTGATTTGCGACCACTCATGATTCATCGCCATAGCCCCTAGCTTGGCGCAGGTCCACGCCTTCATAAATATGTACCACTCCAATTGGCACCGATAAAAGTGCAGGGAGCCCCAAACCTAGCGGCGGCACAAATTTCAACCTAAACTCTTCAGTGCTGAGCACCCGGACTTAAATTCCCGAAAGAACTGCTCAAGCCTGGTCTTCTCAGTGGAGATGTTTTTTTTTGTGCCAGAACCCTTGTGACTGGAACCGGCGTTTCGCAATCCCTGATGCCTGGCCGCCCTGTGCTTCAGTCAGGGCATCGGTGCAGGCCACGACATCCTGGCAGGGCTCCGACAGAATCACGAGTTTAGGTCGCAACAAGTGGGCCCTGGGCTTAAGGGGTTGCATAGCGACGTGGGCCTACCTTCTTGGTGGATAGAAAAGGGCTCTCGAGCAACATGCAAGCCAATCCCTTCATGCACCCTTCATGCAGCTTCGAACTCTGGCTAAGGAGCTCGTGCTTACAGCGCGATGGGGGTTTTACATTATCGGGGTCCTCTTATAAGGGGATCTTACTATTTGGGGGTTTGTATTAGGGTAAACCCCCAGATGGAGCCAACTCTTCGGTGGACCTGAGGCTGCCCACGTGCAGCAGCATCCTGTCGCAAAGGACAAAATTCCTGGGGACTGGGAAGGATCCTGATTTCCAAGCCAAAAGCCACTCAGTCCAAGGAAAAAGAAGAAAGAAGGAACCATTTTGGGGGGCCTTTGCAAGGGTTGTAGCTTTTGGGGGGGTGTATGATGAGGTCCCTCCTCCACGAAATCCTACCCCCCTTTTGGGTTGCCCAAAACCCCCTAAAGCTCGGGAACTCAGTAGCCGTGCCTGCACTTGAAGCTTTGCCTCCAACAGTTGTGGAAGAGAGGCCTCGAGACGGTCCCGGAGGTTCTCCTGACTTTCAGGCCGCGGTGTGAGGGTTAAGGTTTTTGCTTGTCCCCCGCTGAGCTGGCGGAAAGGCAGTTCACGGGCAAGTGACGATGTAGGTTTAGGGTTTGGATAGGTTTTGGGGGAATGGGGGGGGGGGGTTGGGTTGCTTGCAGATTTTGGGGGTGCTTTAGCATTGGGGGGTGGGAGCGGCTGCGGCTGTGTGTGTGTGTGTGTGTCTCTCTCACTGCTATCAATGATCACTGCTGTCACCAGTATCACCATTATCACTGCTAGCACGATTGGGAACATGGTCACTATACTAGTTGCTATTTCTTACACCACTAGGACTATTCTCATTCTCATTGTTCCCCTTCTCACTAGTCTTACTATCCTTCTTACCAGCACTGCAATTCTTAATGACTACTTCTATTCATGTTACTGATAACGCTGCTACTTTTTTGGATTACCCGTGTCACTAATATGAGCATGATCAATGATCACATTTTTGTCGTTGTTATTACTACTTGCTATTTCTATGTATTGCATTCGTTCCTTTCTTCTGGGTAGGGGGCGGCTTGCAGGTTTATAGTTGTTGTCTTTGTGGTGAGGGGGACTCAGGGGTTGCCTACCTGGAAGTGTGGACTGTGGAATCACCTTCTCTGAAAATTTGTGCCCTGTTCTGTATGGGCATGCCAGCCAGCTCCATACGAGTCATGCCAAGATTGCCTGCTCAACCTCTCATGCAGGGCCTCAGATCTGACGACTGCATCTTCTGTGGCAGACTTTGGTATCCACCATTGTGAGACCATTTCCTTTCTTGCCTTTCACGCAAGGGGGCTCGGGGGAATGAGGGTTTAGCGCAAACGGCCTAACATCTCCGAGGCTCAGCGCAAGTAAGGAGTTCACCCTCAAGGCCGTCCAGCAGACGCTCGATCAAGCCCACCAGCTCGAGGACAAAGCCTGGGGTTGAGAGTGGCGGGTTTTGCTGTATTTGTGTTTGGCTTTGTTTCATGTGCTGTATTTGTACTTGGCTTTGTTCATGGGCCGTCCTGTCGTCCTCTCAGCCGTTTAGATACACCTGAGCTGAACAAACATGTTCTTTAGGGCGGGGGTTTTTGCAGTCAGTTGCCTTTTCGTTTGAGGGTTTCCTCGCTCACTCTCAAATTTCGAGTTTAGGGTTTAAGGCTTACTCGGCGCTGTCGCCAACAGGGTTAAGGTGTATAGGGCTTAGGGTTCAGGGCAGATATGTAGCATGGGAGTTGTCTATGTCATCTGCTGGGAGGGTGTGGTCACTCGTTCGATGTATTTCTACATCCCGTTCTCTGTCTTTCTTGAATGCATAAACCAGAAAGTAATAAACATGAATAACTAAAAAGAACAAATGCATATGTGTGCGTACTTATAATGTAATTATGTTGGCAGGAGAAACCGCTCTCACCGCTCTTGACATTACAACCGCAACAGGTGACAATCACCCAGTTCTTTCTAGCGGTTACGGAGTCACAGAGCTAGAGATGAATCCCAAGGTAAAAGACGTCCAAGAACCCGCCCTCGGGACCCCAACCGCCTGTCTTGGCCGCCAGAATAATAATATAATGACGAACTGAATAATAAGGCAAGTTTACTCGCGCGCTTATTATCTTCACTTCGTACTTATAATGTTATGTTGGCAGGAAAAACGCTCTCACCGCTCTTGAAATGATTACAGCAACATGAAGGCTCATGAAGGTGACAAGCAGAAAGCGGCTGTCTGGTTCGTAGTGTTCCTTGGCACGCTTCCTTGTGTTCACCCATCACACCTTGAGACCCTGACTCTCAGATCTTGGTCCTTTTCACCTTACCTTTGGACCTATCTTCAAAGGACCACCATTGAAGGGCTTTTGGTGTTGCTACTTACAGTATGCTTGCTTGTGTCCCGTTATGATGTGGACGGTGCAAGAACCAGGACATCCCTGACGTCACCAATGTGGGGTGCTCAGCTGGAACAAGTACGTACCATGTAAACACATTGCTCGCAATCCGCACAAAAAACGCATCCTCGGATTTGGAGGGGTTCATGCTCATGTGGAACACTCCCCAGATGATTCACCTCTTTAAGCCACGGTTCGGGCTTCATGCGAGGAACAACAAGCTGTTCTCTCTCTGTCTCTCTCTCTCTCTCTCTCCCTCTCACTTGTGGCAACATCACCAACACGGACTTGTTGGGGTGGGGGGCTCATCCACCACCTAATCCTGAATCCCACAGAGGCTCCCACAGATATCGAACCAACAAACATCGCTCTTGAATATCTCCCCTCCCTCTCATTGCATCGAAGTCTCGCCAGCTGTGGTCTAACCTGGCTGGCCACCGCCCACAGCGGAACATGCACGTTGACCACTGCGAGTGTTGACAGTTGACGTTGCTGGATGTTAGTCGCAGGTAGCTGGCATACCCGGAAAACCTGACCCGGTCCATGACAACAAGAAACGGTGTGGAGCGTGAACAACGATATACAATAATATACAGTAATATATACATATAAATAAATAAATAAGTATATATATATATATATATGTGTGTGTGTCTGTGTATATGTATGTATGTATGTATGTATGTATGTATGTATGTATGCATGTACATATGTATACACACATGGGTATAATATATATATATATATATATGGCTGATCATATGGTTCTATTCATATGTATTTATACATATTATATATATATACACATACTTTTGTGCATTTGTTCAGTTAGTATTGATACATAGCACTAACTGGCTGACTCTAACAGCTGCACAACCATGCGGCTTAAACTCACCCAGAGCGTGAAAAATGGTCGAGCCGCGCGTGCTCCAGGGACGTGGCGGCCACCGCCGTAGCAGCTTCGGGATGCCTGGAATCCCCAAAGCCGCAGACTTCTCTGCAGGGTTTAGTTTGGGAGGTTCCTCCTTATAGTAACAGCGGCCGATCAGGCACCTTCCCTGCTCTCCGAAGTGCCGGACTCCTACTCCTAATCCTTGTTTCTGATTGAGCGCCCTCCCACCCGGCACAAAAACAATAAACAACAGATCCCCGGAACAAAGATGGGAGGGTGCATGAGGGTGGGGGTGGGCTGGGAGTCCTTCTCTCCTGTTCTTATCGTCTCCTCTCTTCCTCTTCTCCCTCCTCCCTTCCAGTCGCAGACATAAGCCAGGAAAGCACTTATTACTTAAGTAGTGAATTCCTTCTCATTTCGTTTCCCTGTTCACATTTTTTCCCAATGTCTGGCCCTGGGTTGGGGCTCTTTTCTTGGCTCCACAGGCTTTTGTTGGGAGCAATGTCTTTAGAAAGCAAACAGCGGCCCTCAAGAACCCTACAAGACAAGCAACTCCCAAAGCCTAGCAGCCCAAAGACTCCCAAACCCCTTAATTAAGGAATATGCCTTAAATCACCTTAGGGTTCCTATTCTATTTCAGGGATATTCCTTAATTAAGGAATATGCCTTAGGGTTCCTATTCTAATTTAAGGGAGATTCCGTAATAAAAGGGGTTTCGGAGTCTCTGGCAGGAACAGTGCCTGGCCTCAGCGAGCGGAGCATGGCCTCCACCTGAGCATCAGCAACCTTCTCCCTCAACAAGCAAGGCCCTAAACCCTAAACCCTTTTTCACAAGGGACTCGACTGCTGCCCTTTCTGCCCAGCCCGCCCCCACACCACAGTGCCTATGACTGCAGGGCGAGAGTCGCCACTTCGCGGCACCAAGCTTCAGGCACAACTTGATAAGACACTACTCTCTGGAATGCTTTGTATAGCTTGACAGTGACATCATAGAGGGTATGCTCAAAGATCTCAAAAGCAGTATGCGCGAAGAGAACTTGGAAAGACAGCCAGGTGTCCACATATCTGAGATGACAAATGACGAAGTGCAAAACGGAGTAAAGGTCCTCATGCTGTGCAAATGTCAGACTTTGCCAGCCGTCCGTGACATCCAGCCACACCACAGCCCAAGAATCCGAACGCAGCAGCACGAAGAGACTCAACCCCCAGTGGCACTCATGAGTTACAGCATGCTGCCATCTCAGCCAATCAGTAGTAGGCTTCGCATAGTGCGGGGGCAACCAGTAGAGCTCAACTATTCTTGACCCATGATTGGACCAAAGCTCCCTATTTGATGCGAGGTCTCGTAGTTCAGACCAACTTGGACCTTCAGACGAGGCACACAGTCCTGTAGCACGCACAACATGATGTATCCACTGGAAGAGCATGTTTCTGGGCCCAGGTCTTACCTGACGCCACCTACCAAGCACTCCTTGCTGCAACGCAATGGACGGCATGGAGTCCTCTCGCATTCTTAGCACATGACCCACATAGTTCCACTTTCGCTGTATCCAAGCTTGAGTCACTGCAGCCCTACCATCAAGATGATGCAAGAGAGCCGCCGTGCGTCGACGCAAGAGATTGAGAGGCAGGGCCGAATTGGAGTCCAGCCAGGCCGGAATGTACAGTTTGAGGACAGCTATAGCAGCGTCGTTCTGAAGCTTCGATATACTGTCAATATGCTTCTGTTTGGGTGAAAGGAGAGGCGAAATCCATAACCACTTTGCATGGATATACTTGTGCAAAATGTTGAGGCACGCAATGCTTTGATTCCAATTGAGCTTGCGAGTGATCGAAGCAAGTTGTTCTAACCCTTGAAAGACAGCACGCCTGCAGAAACCCACCAGGGCATCGTTCAAGTCTTCTGCTTGAGGGCTCAGGGCGTCAAAGTGCGACACAGTCTTTCGTAGATATTTGGCCTCGCTAGCCCACTTGCACTGCCGTAGCGGAGAGTCCTCAGGGACGGAGTGACCTCCTTCTGCCAAGAGCGAAGGAGTCGAAAACACAACTGTCTTGTCTAAATTGAGATGAAGGCCCGCAGCTGACAGTTGCTGACAGAGAAAAGAGAAAGCATCATGCGCCTGTTCCCAGCCACCATATATAACCAGACAGTCATCAACAAATAACCAACCTGGCACTCCATGTAAGTTGCTTGTGCTACGGTCCTGGAATATACCTGAAATAACTGCATCGAAGTAGTGCGAGAAAACCGTAGAGGAGTGACTCCCCCCTTGTTGGACTCCTATGTTTGCCTCCAGCTGCCAACTGCGTCCCTCAAACTCAAAGTTTAAAGTGGGATGCAGCAGCATGTGACAAAGTCTCAGCGCTTCAGGAGCGTGACTTGCCGGGGTCACATCTATGATGTGCTGAAGAAGATGCTGATATCGCACGCTGTCAAAAGCTTTTTTAATGTCCAGGCTGACGTAGATGCATGGGGCACCCTGCAGGGACTCACGCTCCAGGAACGAGTGGACACCCAGAAGCGCATGGAGCACTTGGCCACCAGGTAGCCCACCGTACTGGTGTTTCGGCGGGGGCCAAACATCCAAAAGTCTGGAGACAAGCAGTTTGCAGAACAACTTGTGCATGGTTTCTAGCATGCAAATAGGTCGGAGATCACTAGGACCACAAACTTGTTGGAGTTTGGGCACGAGAGCCACCATGCATTGCTTGAAATTCTGCATGTCATCAGAACCATGATGAAAAAGTGCCGTCAGGAAGTGTTGCAGAATATCAATACCCTCGTCAGTTTGGATGAGGCTTCTGAGAAATTCATTGCTCATGCCAGTGGGCCCGGCAGTCTTGTTTAGTTTGAGGGCATGCACCGCAGACCGAATCTCATCCTGTGTGAAAGGCACGCAATTAGTGGGAGAGCACAATTCACGCAGAGTACGCAAACACCTCTTGACTGCTTCATCTTCTTCGTTCTCACTCGGTTGTGAGAACACCTGCGAAAAGTGATCTTTGACCTCCGTCGCAGCGGCTTGGGCACCACCCACTCGAGCAACAAACGATTTTGTGGAAGGTCTGGGATTTTGCTTCTTGCGGACATAGTCAATGGCACCGAAATCTCCCGACGCAGCTTGAGACTCAAGCTTGCTCCACCAGTGAAGTCTGGCGAGGTGTCTTTGTGTCAGTATCTCCTTCGTCAGCCGACTACGCTCCTGCACCTCACCACAACTCCTACGTTGTTTACAGAGGTCCTTGACGAAAGGTGGATCCACATACTTACAACTTCTTCGGGGAACAGAAACCTGTCGAGACATAGCACATAACGCCTCCCACTGCTGAGAGGGGCTGTATTGCTGCACAAAGACATCTCGCTGAGCCGCAGCAAGCTGGGCGACATGTGCTGCGTCAACCACCCATTTCCGGCAAGGTCTTCTGTGCCAGGTCTGCGTGCGGAGCTCTTTCGGATTTGAGGTCGCATACATTAGGATAGAACAACATACAAGGTCGTGATCAGAGGGAAGCTCTATACGCGAGCCACTCACCACATTGGTATCGTCCCCATAGTCAACATCAACAAGCAAGGCTTTCATTCTATCATTGAGAATGAAGTAGTCGTATGTTCTGGAGCTCACTCTGCCATGCCAAGTACTGCACTCAGACTGTTTGCAGCACACGCCAAGGGATGCAAGTTCAATCTGGAGGGCAGCCCCCCTATCATCGCAATCACCTTTCCACTCGCAGTTGAAATCTCCCGCAACAATAACTGCAATCGATGAATACTTCGTGAAAATATGGTTCAACTCTGCACATGCAAGCTCAAATTCACCATCAGGCCTATCTTTATGCGGAAAATGCACGTTAACGAAAACCACCTCGCATCCAGAATCCAAGGTGAAGCGAACTGCAGCAAATCTCCTCCCATGCCAGGACTCAGAAATAAATTTCACGGATTGCCTGTCAAGAAGGATCACATTGCCTAAGTGCGAAGCACAGGACGAGGTGCCAAGGATATGATAGTCGTCAAGTTCTGAGGCCTCTGGAGCCTCAATGGTCGCTAAGGAGCCATCTGCGTTGGCTGGTGGAATGTTGCATCCAACCTCCTGTACACCCAGCATGTCGAATCCATCAGGATATAATGACAGCCAGTCTCCAAGCCTGGAGACTCCCTTACCTTGAACATTCCACGTACCAAATCTATACAGCTTATGCACCATTCCACTTTGCGAATTAAATGTTTCGGCTCTTCCCGCTTTTCAGCTTGATGTTTGCACAAGCACTTCAACATCCGAGGCATTCTTCTCCGCCAAGGCTGCTAAGGTCGTGATGTTGACGTAGTAGTGCCCTGCTTCTTGGCCATCTTTGCCCGCTGAGACTTGAGTGTGGACAACCCTGTCCTGAGACGAGCTGCGCATATCCCCCATTTTCCCCGTGGCAACTCTCTTGTCCTTGCACCAAATGATTTGCCTGGCCCAGTCCACCTCTAGTGTCTCAACTTTGTCAGGCTGAAGAACTCGCTGCAGGCGGTTGAGGGCTTCGCGCGTGCATCTATTTTTTGCTCTTCGTTCAGGAGTGCGGCTGGGGGAGAGCCAAATGGGCTCTCCGCCCACTTTAGACTGGAACTGTCTACTGTGCTCCTGCTGCAACCTATAGAATATCTCTCGCGCTTCATCCCCAGCCTGTTGGCTGAGGTATATATGACTGACATTGGCTCGCGAACCAAATACAACCACCCTCTCCACCTTGATCGCAGGACCGAACTTGTTGCAAATATGCCACGTATCATCTTGTAAGATTTGTCTCCTTGTATCTTCCGGCCACCCGCCTGCCACTATGTGGCAGTAATCTGTTTCTGCTGAGTTTGTTGGTGAAGAAGATGCACTGCCTTTCTTTGGACTCATGGTATGAGAATGCTCTGGTCGAGACAGCGGCGGCGGATGCGCAGACATCTTGGGCCCATCCTCTTGACGGAATGCTTCACCCGCGGAGGGTGCAGCGGTCTGCGGTGTAGATTGGCGCAGGGAGCGTACAACCTGCACCAGCTCCTGCACTTGGCCCTCCATCTCTTTCATCCTCTGACCCATATTCTCTGACTCAAGCTGATTAAGGCGATTTTCGAATCCATGAAGTCCCTTCCCCAAGCCAGCCAGTTGCAATGAAACATTGTGCTGCATTGACATAAGCGTCTCTGCCCAAGCTGGTACCTCCTGAAGATCTTGTACTCTCTGTTTTCTCAACAGTTGGTCTAACTCTTCGTCCGGATCTACAGGTGCCCCCCTCTTGCCAGGACTCTCCTCCCCAGTGAAAGAAAATGATTGAGGCATCAGTGCGTCTTCTGCTCGTTCATCTTGCTCGGTCATGGAGAAGTTCTAAATCCCCTACCCCTACCTCAACAGCAAGGTTTTAAGCCGAAACACTTGAGCCGTAGCCATTACCCTAAATCCTAAACCCTAAACCCTAAACCCGGCTGTCTGCTGAAACCCATCGAACATAGGGCAAAGAGCCAAGTGCATGCACACAGCCTGAGATAAGAAACGAAGACAAACTTGTTGATACAGACGACCTAGATTACTTACAGATCATGTTTGGCCTGACTGTCTTATTGCTCCTCTGACAAGAACAGCTTGTTGCACAGTTGTTCGCCTGCTTCAAATCCATGCCACACAAACCTTTTGGTAATTTCATTCATTCGTGTCCATGTACAGCCAAGCTTGAAAAAAACATACATGGATCAATGATAATAGCTACTCGTGAATCTCGTGAGAGGTTACAGCATGAGATTTACCAAGAGTTCGGAAAATTGAAGAGAACGCACCCGATCTTCGAACTTGGACTTCAAGAAATGAGCGAAGGAGCAGGTCCAATAACTGGGGGAGATGATTCTGTCCCACGGTGTCCCGGATAATGCAATTAGGTCCCATAGATGAATGTTAGCACAACAATGTCCTGAATGCCTCCAGCCGGAACTTACCAAGTGAGGACCTTGAACTATGGAATCACATCGACCACTGTGTATTGTAGCGGGCAATATGTAAACAAGGCCGAATGTGCAGCTCTATCGACTCTCATTCTCCACGGTGGCGTTTGCATGGATTCCAGCCGCAAAGGTGTATATATATATATATATATATTATGTACAGACTCTTCGACCGCGTGAAATACACTTAACTTAGCTTACATGGTCAGCCACTAACAGAATCGAGTCGTGGGTATTTCTCAAGGTTCAAGCTGTCTCTAAATTCATACAGACATAGAAGCAACACTCGAGGCCTCAGTCGCACGGCTCAGGTCTTCACTCCCACCCGCCCTGTCGTCAGGACTGCACGATTCTCAAAAATACCCGACCCCCGAAGCCCAGAGAGCCTCAACTCTGACAGTTCTAGGGGATAGGATTAACTAGGGGGACCCTTGAAAATATTTACCCTCTCAAAAAGGTCCCTGTGTAAGAAAGGCAGATGAGAAGGGCTCCCTTTTGAGGGTCTCCCTCATCCTACCTGGGAAGTTTTCCGTCAAGCCACCACGTCACTGGCAGCGTCAAACTCCAGGCGCCAGCGTCGCGCCATGCCTGCCGCCTGCAGTTTATCATGATCAGCAGACAAATCCCTAGCGTGTAGGGTTAATAGGGGTTTCGGGATATTGGATTAAACATTCTGTCTAGCGTCTCTCTATCCAGTGTTTCCGGGCTCAGCGCAGCACATCTTCGGGGACAGAGGCCAACAAGGCGTCCTCCCCACTCCTGCTCTTCAAGTCATGGCTTCTGGATGCTACGTCGGCGCACACTCTTCCAGGTTAAACAACTTTAGGGCCCTCAGACAATTGTCGTCTCAATCTATTGCTGCAACACTATGGGTTGGAGCTCTTCATGCGTTGTTAGCAGACGGCCTTTTTCTCCTTTGCATCATGAGGCACGGTCTGAGGAAGGGATGGCTACAGAGTCTCCTGCTACAGGTGAGGCAGAGAAAGTTGCACCTATGGCTTGCAGTCAATTTACATGATCGGGTCGAACTTCTCGTCGGTCTTCATGATTCGAGCTGCGATCCGCTTTCGGAGGGTCGGCATGTCTTCCTGGTCGAATCCCAGGCTCTTCCCTGCAGAGAGGCAGTCTGCGAAGAAGCACGTGAAGACACCGCAGTCGTACCCGTTACGCTGCTGTGGCACCGGAGGATCGGGGACCAGAAGATTCCAATCATCCACCCCTTGGAGATCTTTGCTCTTCTTGGCCTTGTGCTCATCTGCCAGATAGCGCCGTAAGAAGGCCACAAAGTTGGATGGCGGCTTGCTGAACATCGAGTCGAAGTAGCGGAAACCCTTCTCCTTTAGGTCGATGGCCCCCATCGCCCAATGAGTTTCTGCAATGTTCATGGGGAATATGACGTAGTCCATCTCGAAGATGTCAATCTTTGCCTTAATCGTCCATCTTCTCACCTCTTTATAGTTGTACTCCTTGTTGTTGCCACTGAGCTTCGGCCAGAAAAAGGAATTGGTGAACCAGCTCTTTGGCGATGAAGCCACTGTCTTGCTACGCTCCTGCAACAACTTGTAGTAGAAGTTGATGACCTCGTCATTGAGCCACTCGCCCGGCCGCAGACATTCGAGCTGCCTTCGCGTCACCTCCACGCTGAAGCGTGAGGCTACGACGTCATCACCATTGCCCTGGCCAAACCTGCACCATTGTTGGCGTAATTACTATTCAAGAATGACAATGTTTGTTCCTTATTGGGTTTCAGTCACAACCCTAAACCCTAAACCCTAATAGGCCCTAATAAGAAGGTAACATGATTTTCAAAGAATGACCCAGAAGCAGGGCATCTTCTGCCAATTTCTCCTCCTCCGGGGTGATGGGGGGCACGCGGCGCTTCTTCTTGGGCATCTTCATGGCCGCCAGAAGTCGCAGGAGCTCGAGCCCAGACGCCTGCCTAGGTTGTTGCCTTTTTCAACCCTCTGAACAAAGGATTCACCTAAGTATGATCCTCTAAAACCCCAATAAGGCCGGGAACATATGAAAAATGTGCAGAGGTTTTACCTAGCTGCTCCTCCTCCTCCGTCCGGGAAGGCCACAGCTCGGCATCGGGAACGGCCGACGAGAGCCAACTGGCATACTCGGCGTAGCCCAAGTATCGGGGCCGGGCTCTAAGCCAGCTATCGCGGGTCTCCTTGCCATACGCAAAAGCCGCACGCTTGGAGTATGGTATCTCCCACTGCACTGTGCCAGGCGGTGGGCTTCGAAGAGAGACTTTGGGGCTGGGAGCGAGTGGCTGCATCAAAGCCCCTGCGATTGTGCCGGGAGGCAGGTCCTCGCTGGGTGCCAGAGTCTTTGTGGCCGCACGCAAGGCTAGAAGCCGTGCAGCACAGCCAGGCCATTTGGCTAAAGGCACCACGCCTGAGAGACCTTCGTCCTGTTCTGATGAGGGCAAGGGTTCAATGGCAGCTTGGAGGAGCTGATGCGCACGGCGAAATCTCTTCGAGACTGCCTCACCCAGCTCCAGCGAACTGCAATGTCGCTTCCGCCGCATCGCCATCGCCGGCTCTTTGGCAAAACTGCTCTGTAGCAAGGCTGCCTCTAGCTTTCGAGTTGGCCGTTTGTCGAGATGTCATTCTGTGTTTGCTGTCGTCTTGTGCTGCTATTCCTGCCCTAACTGATCTGTGCTTGTCTTGAGCCGTTTGTTGAGTACGTGACATGTAGCTTTCGTGGTTCTGGTGGGTGTCGAGCACCTTGCACCCTGTCCATCCTTCTAGAAACAGCATCCGAAGACTGTGCCCTCATGCTGGCCAAGGCACCTCGGACTCCGGCCGCACATCAGGGCGCTCGCCTAGCCTCATGGAGTCAAAGCCCGACGACAGTGGTTTGAACGCTCATGAGTTCTTGTCGCTAGGGCTAGGGGAGCAAGATAGATCTAACCGTATCTTAGGCAATCTATGGCTTATGGCCCGACGTTTGAAGTTGGATCGAGGATTTGGAGCTGCGCTTGTTGCGGCAGACTTCCGCGGTTTAGGGTTTAGGGCTTACTTAGGGTTTAGCATTTAAAGGTTTAGGGTTTAGGGTGCGACATGCAGCATGGCCAGCGGGTGACATCGCCCATTACACAGTCACCATGTCAGCAAGGAGGGCGCTACCCAGAACTCATAATGGCTGGGTTCTTGGTGAGTGTTGGCTGCTACGGTCGCCACGGGGGATTGTGCTGCTTCCATGTGGTGTTTACATGCCGATATGGGTATGTAATATAGGGGCCTGAATAATTAGAATAGGGTTTGGGGGGTTATTATCGTAAAATTACAAAGGGACCATAAGGAAATACTACTAGCAGACTGCAAACCCTAAACCCTAAACCCTAAACCCCAAACCCTAAACCCTATATTCCTACTAATTGTTCCGACCCCTATAGTAGAGCTGAAAGTGCTGGCCATGCAGTGGAGTGGAAACTCAGCACAGGGCATTCGCAGGCTCCGCCGGGCCGATTGCACAACGGACTCGAGCTGCCTCCTGGTTTAGGGTTTAGGGTTTAGGGTTTAGGGTTTAGGGCTGCCTCCTGCAGGGACAGATGTGCCATTCACGAGGGCAGAGGACGATTGCAAGCCACCAACCAAGCCCAGGCAGTGTCACGGGATACTTCGAATTGCTTAAGCACCCCCCCCAAAAAAAAACAAAAACATTCTTCCTTATAAGGGGAATATAGGGATTATGACTTTCATATTCTGGCGGGGTCTTATATAAGCAAATAGTAGGATAGGCAACCCTAAACCCTAAACCGTATAAACCCCATAAATCCTATAAACCCGAAACAAAGAACCTGCAGGGACTTGCTTGCTTTGGCCCGCAAATTTGAACCCCTCCCCCGATCTCCCGAGCCGCGCGCAGCGGGCTCGGAAAGCGACGTTGTCCTCAAGCACCTCCCAAAAGAAGGCATCAGGTTTAGGGTTTTTTGGCACCCGCATAGCTGGACGAACCACTCCACAGAGATTCCAAGTCTGAGTGACGATTCGAAACTGCGTTTGAAAAATGGTGTAGGGTTAGGGTTTTGGGTCCTGGGGTAGTTTCGGAGGTTGATCAGGATACAACATACCCCATAGACCCTCAGAAGCATGTCTCTCCAAAGTCAGTCCTGACCTTGGCAGAGAGGGAGAACACCCTGACTGCCCTCAGAACCACATCAACAACAATTGCTTTAAAACAAATTAGTGGAACCCTAAACCCTAAACCCTAAAGTTCAGGGCTTAGGACGCTGGCATTTTTCTAGATGCTGTATAGGAACGAGGTATGTCAGCGGAACCCTAAGCCCTAAGCCCTGCTTCTCAAAAAACCGAACTCTCTCAGCCGCATGGCGACAGTGCATCTCACAGGTCTCTTGTGTTGAGTCTCCCTAAACCCTAAACCCTGTCTCTCTCTCTCTCTCTCTCTCTCTCTCTCTCTCTCCCTAAAACCAGAGTCAAAAAAAAGCCCGAAAACCTAGCTTTCCTGCTGGGGCTCAGCTTGCCGACCCTGACTCCCGGGACAAATCCTCCGGCCGGCTTTTGGCTGCTCCAGGCAGCTTTTGTTGTGCGCATGGGGTGAAGAATGGGATGTTCCCCCTTACACTCACAGTCCTTCATAGGGATTATAGTAGGGGGTACTATTATCCTTGCTAGTATCTTGGGTTCCCCTACTACACCCCTCCCCCCTCCATACTACCCCCCCTAGGTTCCCCCCTAAAATAACCTCAACTAGGCTGAATTATCTTTGCATAACCCTTAATTATGGGGGTAAACTGGGGGGGATGGATTACAATAGGGCGTACTATAGTCCCTACTAAGGAGCGGTTAGTATAAGGGAAAACATCCCGAGGTGCTGGGAGTCTCCCTCCTCGCCTGCGCAAAGCGCGAGGCGTGAAAGCCACAGGCTGCGGCGCAGGCCGTCTGCACCTCTTAAAGGGTTTAGGGTTTAGGGTTTGGGGTTTAGGGTTTAGGGTTTAGGGTTTAGGGTTTAGGGTTTAGGGTTTAGGGCACCCAAAAGGTTTAGGGCTCACAGGCTTGAGGACTTATAGGGCATGAGACTTCTAGGGCTTTTGGATACGTAAAGTGAGTTCGTGCTGGGGTGCGTGGGCTTGGTAAGAATCGATTAAGCTTAATTACGGAGTGCGTACAGCCTGGTGCTCGGCAGGTTCGAGGAATTCAAGTTTCAGGGTCTGACTCTAAGCCCTATGGGAACCCTGAACCCGAAACGAACAGTCCATCGACACCGCTGCAACCAACTCGGCTAACATCCTATATCTCAGCCCTCCCCACTGTCCCGGCCCCCCCGCCAAAAAAAAGGACGGGCCTCCAGCTTGGCAGTGAGCAGAGTAGCCTGCCACATCGGGTGTTCTTGGCTGAGGGTTTGCTAAAACAAAGGGAGCTGAAAGGGGATGCAAAGCGTATAGAGGTCGTCTGTAGGATCGACCTCAGCCGGGTGGGAGCCTTGCCCCATTGGACAAAGCTCATGACACATACTTTCTCGCATCAAACGCTTGGCCGGGACGTTCCAGTACAATAAGAGCCCACAACTCGAATTATGCATGGCTTTGGCAGCCTCGGGCGCAAGGACATTGCGTGAAGGTCGCGCCTCGAGATCGGCCTTCTGTTGCTCGAGCTCCCCTCGCTCGGCTGCGAGGTCCTCGGGGGGAAAGGGGACTCGCGGGCTTAGGGTTTGGGTTTGGGGACTAAGGGTTGTTTTGCCACCCGACTAGCCAGACCCTAGTTTAGGGCCAAGTTTAGGGTTTAGGGCTGGACGTCAGTGCTTCTTTTGACTCAAACATCCTAAGACCCTTAACCTTACTTCTTGTTCCTACTAAATAAGGAAACCCAATAAGTTCAAAAAGTTCAACTATTGGCTAAGTAAGTAACAAGCTTCAAGGTACTCCAAGCATGGTCCTTGTCGGGTCTCTGTTAGAACCCCCCCCCCCCCCTTGCAAGCGTCTCTTCGCAAGTACATAATAGGGGGAGGGTGGGGATTGAACAGTCTTAGGAGAGGGGGCTTGAATCCTATTCAGCGTGCCCCAAAAGGAGAGAGTACGCAGTCACTTGCCGGGTCCTGTAGCCACTTGTTTCGCTCCTCCCATGGCCGATCTGCCTCACAAAAAGTGTCTGGGGCCTGAGCCTTTCGACCTTTCGAGTGTATTCATGACACATCAAGGCTAGGGAAGTGATTCTAACAGATGTCCGCACCCCTCATTCAGGCGCCCTCTCACTTCTCAGAGTGTTGCACGTTCCTCCAGTAGCCGGGGGGGGGGTCAATCCCTCATAGAGACACTCAACTGCAGCTTTTTGGGCTTCTGATGCTTGCGACCCGGTTCTTGCCCTGAGAAAGCATTGGGGTTAGGACTTGTTCTATGCTATGGCTATGAAGATGCCTCAAGATCCTCCGGACAACAAGTCGCGTCACAACAACTCATGGCGATGAAACCCTGCTGTGGGCCTCTCCCAACTGTGCCTCCAAACGGACGGCCTCAAGACAAAGTCAAACTGAAGCATGCTCGGCGGAGAGGGTTCAAAAGGGCTTAGGGTTTAGGGTTGGTTTTGCATGATTCTGCAAGAGAATGAAGGGTCCGTAAGACCGCAGCCATCCCCCCTCAGATAAGAATCAGACATAGAGCCTTCTTCTGCCGTTTCTGCGTCCTCTGCCATGTCCCCGCAACTCGAGAAGCTTTGTTCGTCATCAGTACTCCAAACAAAAAACGCCGGACAAACAAACATCCTCGAGTTCTTTACACCCGAAGTTGCTGGGCACCCCGCGCAGTCCCAGGCCGCGCGCAACGAAGAGCAGACCTACCAGAACATGCTGCGCTGGTAGGGAAGTGTCGGGTGCTGGGATGGGCCTCCACCTACCCGAAATTTTCCTTCATTCAATCCCCTAGGGTTGCGCAAGATCCCGAGCCAGAGCCAGTCTTCAACCTTAGCCTCCTGATGCAGTCGAGATAGCTGCATAGGTTAGCAGCAGTGGTCGGATGCAAGGGCATCTTAGTGCCTACATGTTTGGGTGCCATTTGATGCGGCCCCGAACATGGAGGGCAGCGTTGAGGACCCTTCAGTGCTCTGCCCAGCGCCTCTGGCGGAGTCTAGTCTGGGTCTTGACAAGTATGGCGGCCATGCACCACTCGCATGGTTGCCAGTCGTTCGCCATCTCCCCCTAGTTCTAAATTGCAACCATATAGCTTCAAACGTCGATAGGTTGCACGTATACGCCCTGTAAACCCTATATGCCCAAGAGCACTAAGTGCACTAAGTCACGAAGCAAGAAGAAATCCCACCTCATCATTCACGCGGAAATTGCCATCGAGGAGCCGCTCAGCTTCCTGCTCCCCAAGCAGTGGACGCATCGCATGCAGTCCTACAACCACCTAGGAACAAGATGCACAAATAAAAACCATAACTATGCACACCATCAAATATACAGACCCGTGTACATGTGCGTAGGTACGTATGTCTGTGTATACATCCACACATGTATATTGAGGTCAATTCTTAACAAATCACGACATCTATTCTCAAGTTCCTCGTACATATGACCAGTGCCATACCACCCTGAGGCGCTGCCATACTCCCCTAATGCCTAAGGGAGGGGGGATTCATGGGGGGTACCTAGGCGGTCGTAGGGAGTATTAGGGAACCTTGGGTCACATACCCCCGCTTGAACCCCCCCCCCCCCCACTTGAAGAACCCTACATGGGGCTGCACCTCTCTGAGCCTCGACTCAACAACGTCGGGCTTCCTCCATTCAATCCCTATGCTTGAAGTCAGGATGCCCATCATGCGCGCAAGTCCCAGAACGGTTGCTCCACATTTGTGCATACCTTTTGGTGTACGTACATAAATCTATATACATTGATACATAAATGCGTGCGTATATGTTATATATATATATATTATATACATATATATATATATATATATTTGTATTTATTTGTATATACACACAATAACACACAGAGAAATGAATGCTTGTCGCAGAAGCTCCTTGCAGCTCAGAGAGGCCATGACTTTCCTCGTCTCGAGGTGGCTTTCCAGAGTCAGGGGAGTACGGGTGCAACGATGGTGGTTTAGAGTCCCAAGCAACGCTGGTGGTACCGGTATCTGGAAGTCCTTGTCAAAACACCAATTGATCCCAAGAAGGGACCCTAAATTTAGAAATCGTCGATCTTGCTGCTCGGCCACCCTCTGAGGCGCTTTGCGGCATCGCCGCTCGCCATGTCCACCGCAGCCAGCTCCTCCTAGATTGAGAGGTTTCTTGAGGGTTGAGGGTTGAGGGTTGAGGGTTGAGGGTTTAGAGATGTACTCTTCAAGCCCGATATACACGCCGATCATAAAACCTTGAAAAGGCCTGAGGGCATTATACGTTTCAAGGCAGGAGCAGCCCCAGATTCGGCGGCCTCTGTTTCTGAGGGATATCCATCAAGGCTACTTATTGGTTGCCATCTTGCAGCCAACTTCTCTGTGCAAACTGCAGCAGCAAGGTCATCTGCATCGGCCATGGCGCACGTGCCCTTCCAGGGCCTCCTGTTGCTGTGCGTTTAGGGTTTAGGGTTTACTCGGCGCTGTCTCTGAGTCTGAGCAAGGTTTAGGGCTTTTAGGGTTTAGGGTTTAGGGTTTCTTGTTTCAGCTCATGGCAGGAGCTTCGAGTAACAGCGCCCGTTGCCAGCAGACAGAGAAGGCCTGAAGCAGCTTGAGCCAAAGCTGCTGCAAACAGCTGGACGACACAACGCAGCAAGCCACTCATTCTGCGAGACTGACAATCCACTGACAAGGTGAGCCTGAACCTGCACCACCACACACAACACTGAACGATCCTGGTTAGGCCCTGAAGCGATTCAAGCCTGCGCGATCTCGGAGCGCATTGGAGGCCCCTCTTCTCGGTCTATCTTAAATGAGCCAGAATGCAGGACCCAAAGACTCCTCGGCATGAGAAACCCTATGTGCATGGCAACGCAGGAAGAAACACAACCAAACACTACTTACAAGCCCACGCGCGGGCCCGCACATCCGCTGAATCCATGATCCTGAAACTCGATGAGGCCTCTCCATCGACCCCTAAGTCCCATAAGCCCCCAACCCTAAACCCTAAACCCTAAACCCCAAACCCCATAAGCCAAAAGCCTTTGGGCCAGCTGATACTTCAGGGAGGCGCCTGTGGCAGGACTAAGTCCCGGCCAGCACGCCCGCCACCCACCAAGATCGCCTGGGTCATTCGCATCGCAGTTAAGGGTTCAGGGTTTTTTGGCGTTGACAGTGTAGGGCTTGTAGGTAATTGCCGAACCTACCCCCTGTTTTTACCCCACAGTGGCTGGACTACTTCTTACAACTATAACTGTTGAGAAGCTTGTGCCTCTAGGGTTAGGAGGGGCCCGTCTTCGAGGATAGCTCTGTGAGTACAGGGGCATAGACTCACGCAACCGTCAACGACCTAAGCCCCTATATATGGCGCGATGAACAATGTGTGGATCGTGCCACGCAGGCCACGAGACGAGCCACAACCGCAAACGATCGCCAAAACGACCCTCCCCGGCAAAAAGTGCAAACAAAGAAAGAAACGACTGAACACGTCGCGCACGTGTCGAAACCCCCACGCAGGCCAATGTTTTCAGGCATGCGCCTCTCCCGACGACGGCGGACGAGACGTGCCAGAATGCAGCATTGACCCCCAAAACCATGCCCGGAACTGAACCAGTCAGGGGTTTTGAGCTGGATAGCGGGCTTCCGAGTGCTCCCTTGTTGTTTTGCCCCGGGGGGGTGGGGGAGGAGGAGAGGTTCCGAAAGCCTTTAGAAAAACTCTAATCCCATATAACCCTCATTTTGTGGAAGCTCCCTTTTGGGGTGGCTCAAAATATTCGGGGCTCAGCATTTGATAAGAGAAGCCCCCCCTGAAGGGCTTCCATCCTGAACTCCTTAGGGTTTAGGGTTTAGAGTTTAGGGTTACCCAGTGGTTACCCTCAACCCTAGATCCTTGACACCCCAACACCTGATAAACCCTGTAAACCCTTAACCCCGCTCCGGTTCTTGCAGGGTCCAGGTGGAAGAATCCGGAAATAATTTTCGATTGCTCTCTCTCCCCCTCTCATTCTCTCCCGCTCTCTCCCTCTCTCTCTCTCTGCTCTTGCTTGCTTGCTTGCTTGGACTCTTTGCTTTTTTTTTTTCTCTCTCTCTCTCTCTCTCTTTTCGCCTCTGAGCCATAAGCTGGATCTAAACCCTCAAGCCCTTCAGATTCTGAAGGCCCAGACCCATCAACTCACAAACCTCCAAAACCCAAAGACCCAAACCTCTCAACCCCCCCCCCCCCCTCCCAACCCCGCAAAACCGAACCTCCAACCCCAAAGCCTCGTACCCTCTAACTGAAGCCCCCCACCAAGAGCCCATTACCAGCAGCTCAACTGGCCTCGCATTCGCGCAGGGACGCGTCCACGAGGATGGGGCAAGGAGGGTCCCGCAGCCCAACGGGTCCTCAGTGGGGTTTCAGGGCTTAGTGGAGCTTAGCGGATCATGAGGACTTGGAGATTTGAGGGAGGTTGTAGGGTGCGCGTTGCATTCGGGCCTTGCTTATAAAGGGCTTCGATGCACTTTAGTTCAAGGAAGGTTCGCAAAGTGCCTTTGACTTAGGGAGCTGCCTTTGGCTTAGGGAGCTGATCCAGTTCGGTTTAGACCAACAACATCTACCACCCACATGGGGTGACTCAATGACCCAACACTGGCTCTCACAGAAGCCATCCTTGCAATGGCCGGCACCCCTAAACCCTAAACCCCAAACCCCAAGCCCTAAACCCGAAACCCTACAGTAAACGCTAAACAGCTTACGGGACTGTCAAGCCCTGCTCCAGCTGCAGCTACGGCACCGAGACCTCCGGCCTGACTCAGCACAGAAATACTAGTCTTCTCACAGTAACTTAGCAACAGTAGTACTAGTAGTAGAAGTAGCAGCAGCAGTAGCAGGAGCAGAAGCAGTAGCAGTACTAATCACTATCGCAAAAAGCGATAACAAATGTCAAAATAACAATGAGAAATCACGATAGAAATAACAATAGTGGGAGTGCAAGAATACCCCTAGCAACAAGTAAGTTCATAGGGTTAGAATTCCATGCAGAATGTTTATAGGTTAGGTTACTAGGGACCTTAGGTTTGTTTTAAACGACGGCTTTTTCTGTAGGTTATGCTCCCCGACATACCCTTCAGCAAGGGAAAGTCGGTTGGCTACATTTATGGGGGCGTATTTCAAATTTTTGGACCTGTGGGAATTTTGGGGCCTGGCCCGAGGCCGCCTAGACCTCAACCCTAAACCCAATAAACCCTTTTTGCAAAACCCTAAGCCATAAACCGAAAACCCTAAACCCTTAAACCCTAAACCGAAAACCCTAAACCCTAAACCCACCTTGCCTACACCCCAAACCGCAGAGGAGGCCTCGTAGCCGAAGAGCAGTGGCAGCTCCCGTCGCTTGGCAAGGCGCAAGCGGCAAAGACCCAGAGCCTGCTACATGCATACACATACACACACACACACACACATATATATATATATATGTGTGTGTGTGTGTGTGGACCATCTGTATCTAAGATGTGAAGTTATGGCTGAACACTCATTGATCCTCCTGAAAGCTGTGCATTGATTCGTCGCTCGTCGCACTGAAGTGATCTGATTTATCTGATTCCCCAAAAGAAAGCCGAGATGTTATGTCAAGCAGGGGGGTGCTGGAGAGATTTGCAGTCAGCACCCAATGAAGACGCTGCATATCTCTTGTGATACCATTGCAGACGTGCAATGACGTACCTGCGAACTTCGAGGAATTTTCCCAACCAGCTTCGACTGGGTATGTGTGTGATTCCCGACAGTAATTCTGCCAAAGCGCTGTCGGACTCACGGCCTGCGTGAGAGAATTCAAGCTCTGAATGCATGCTGAAGCAGATTTCCAGGGCTCAAGACCTCCCAGATACGAAAAGACCTTCAGCCTCAGACCATCCTCTAGAGTTTTGACATATGACGTACCCAATTTGAAGATGATGTCATCACATTGAGATTAGTCGAACAGCTTACATGACTTTATCTTGAGCGTCCTTCTGAATGCACCCTGAGTCGCAGGACGACATTGAACGACATCACATCCCTCTGAATACAACCTAAGTCACTGGACGGTATACTGTAATATCATGCCGTGAGTTCACCCAAGTTAGTACGTACACATTTGCAGCAATGGACCGTCGTTTACACATTCATGTGCACCTATCTGGACGACATCGATCCAGAAGCAGGCACCGCAGAAGAGACTGCACAAGACATCGTACAAGAAGACGCAGAACTTCGTCATCCAGTAGCTCCAGTTCTAGCCCTAAACGAACGGCCAATGTTCTTGATGCATTCTCAATGGGTATGCCTCCTGGTACTTGGAACCGCCCGGGCACTTGGAACAATCCTATGGCAAGCAGTTCTTCGTCGTATCCTGTCAGACAAGAATACCCAATTAACATGGTACCTGGCAGATTTCCCAATAGTCTCGCTGCGATACAAGACAATCCTCCGGCACCCGTACGACCATCAGTACCTTTGAGTACGCAAAGGCCGACGCTGACGTCAGATTTTTCCCACCCAGATGCTTTTAGCATAGTGCAACTGGTGCAAAATCGTATTCCTTTTCCTGGAGATACCTCAGCAATAGGCCAGTACACGGACATGTTCTATGAGATCAACCAAGCACAACAATGGCCTGTAGAGCGTCCTGCACCTTTGATGGGCACGATTCCTACCAAGCCGACGTCATCCATTTGGGTTTCTGTTCCTTTCGACCAGGTTAAGACCATTGTCCTGCGCAGAAAGTGGATTGAGCCGCTTTATCGACTGGTCAATGACGTTACGTTGGAGAATTTCAGAGTTCAGCGGGACTGTCTCTTTCATCTGTTGCAACAAAACGGCCCGATTACCAAGATGAATCAGCAGACTTTGGCAGTGTTCCTCAACGCAGTCATTGTCAATAGATTGCAGATCTACGACTTTGTAGATCATGCTCGATGCTTTCATGTGAATGGTGTCAACATGTGGTTCCTGAGAACAAAGAATTTTCCAGGCCCGCTAGAAGAAGCATTGACTGGTCACAATTATGCCTGGTGCCATGTTTGCGGATTGGATACCGTTCTAGGTGTTCTTCGTTGCGGTGTGGTACTCCCCACCACTAGTGATGGCATACAGCTGGATCCTAACCTGCCTTTGACTGGTTTCTTTGGCCGTGGGCAACAATGCGATGGCGACCCTTGGCAATGTGCAACTCAACTAGCAATCAAATGTCATGCTCATCCCAAAAACGCCTATGGGATTTCAGTTGGTGGGATTTTGAGAGGGAACCACGTGCTTCCCGATAGATCCAGTACCTGGCTTGAGGAATTCATTTGCACTAGGTCCGGCATCGTTAAATCCAAATCAACAGATCGTCGATGGTGTTTCAGATGCGACTTAGCGTCCATCCAGTTCATTTGTCTCACCCACAAAGCAGATGACAGC